TAATGGTTTGGATTGTTCGGACTTGGTTTTATTTTATTTCCCCCTTTTCTGAGGTGCAGGACAGTGGACCTGGCAGCGAACAACGTCTAGTCCTACGGTTTGGACGACAGATCGTAGTCCCTTACAGACATTAACATGCACGTAAAATAACCCCTTTCGATTGGAATTAAAAATATGAGTCGTCATTAGCACCAGTGTCAAGGCAAACTTACCCTTATAGTACACTGTATGGCGCATGACCGGCTTCATTAGCATGGATGGAGCAGAAAAGTAGGACTTTAAACCCCATTCAATTTATTTAATTATAAGAAGATAAGTGTGTAGAGAGATCCGGCTCCTACTTGACAAATACTTAAGATGATATGCAACATGAACACTTAAGATAACGTGACTGAACTGAAAGGAGATATGTATGGGCGTCCCCACTAATATTTTTAGTGGTGGGGACATGATATATTGTGTCCCCACCACTTATTTTTGATGTTTTGCGTACTGCTATTTTTTTTAATTGAAATCATTCCAGAGCTTTTATTGACATTTCAGAAACTTCAACTGGTACTATGTGTATCATTAAAATAGCTATGGGAACAATATAAACAGCTAGATTTATCAATTTATCAATTTTAATGAATTTTATTTAAATTAGTTATATACTAAACAGCAAAAAAAAAAGGCGTCAGTACGATTTCAAAATCAGAGAGGCACTTTAATCAAATAAGAAAACGACTTACTAAATGGATCAAAGCATGTTTTTGTGGACAGTATGTTGAGACATTAGCGATTAATTCATCACAATTCCAAGAGAATGTTTAGAGTCTGTACACAGTCTATTCATCGGTATCTGGTGTGTCACCGCGAGTGTCAATAACAGCAGCACAGCGTCTATACGAGCAGTGGACCAGACGATTGATGAACGCCATTGGCGCCTGGAACCACACTCTCGGAAAAGCCTGGCGCAATCCATCGGCTGTGTTTGGTCTCGGTACGACGTTAAGTCTCCTCAGAATTTCATCCCAAAGATGTTCAATCGGGTTTAATTCCGGACTAAGGGCTGGCCAGTGCATAACGTTGACACCGTTCTGCTGTAGAAAGTCGATCCCGAGTAACTCTGGTGGTGTGGGCACAGGCGTTGTCATGCTGGTAATTAACGGTAATAAATTTTATGGGGGGTAGGGATAGCCTTTTGGTTCTTGTTCTTAGAAGCTGAAAAAAACTTGAAAATAATTTACTATCATCTAAAATTGGAATGGGTGACCAGTGCATATTTTTGGTCAGAACTTCTTAATTTGCATAATATATGACATAATTGTGATGTAATAGTGACCTCTTTGTTTTTATTTTGTCATAAGAGTACCAATTAAAGGCTAAAATGTCAATTAAACACAGATTTTTTGAGTTTCAATAATCTATTTCATCGGAATGATATATTTATTATATTCAGACAGGAATAACATATGGTTTATTCCATATAAAGAGTCCACCAAGGAACTTAAAAATCATAGTGTTTTTGTTATTTTACAAAATTCTAAATTTTAACCACTAAATAGGTTCTAAACAGTATCATTTGATATAGGCTAATGTCCTTGTAGCACCCGACATAACATTTACAGTGTCTGTAAATGGAAAGCCGTTAAATAAAGCCTCAACGAAGAGCGTGGTCTGACAAGTTAATGATTTGTTCTTCTCGGAGTACGGGCTCGGTCTAGGGAAAGGGGTCGTCCCCATCGGCGTATCTTCGGATTTTAATTCACTTGGATTAAGGCCTCGGCAAGATCAGTAAACCAGGATATTATATAACAAGTATTAATGGGATGAGAATTTAAAAGTTTGTTGACAAGCAATTAATGAACGAGGAAGGAAGGAGGTCTTAATCAGATGTAACAAGTCACGAGTATCTTGTACGAGCTAAATCTGTCTTTCCGACTTCAATTTTATTTAAATTATTATTTAGATATTTATTCACATGACATAATTAATCCCCTAGCACATCGGATGTTCGGGATTTAAATGGATTCGAACTCCCCCGAGATTTAAAAAAAATACGATAAAATGGATAATCGAGACGATAATAAACGTATACGTTACGTTTTCAAACACTCATAATCTTAAATAATGCATATTTAATTTTAAGTCACGAGTCAACGTGTAATTATATATAATGTCCATTGAGTTTAAATTGACAAGTGTTGAAGTTACCACACACAAGCAGAGTATGCTCTTCTCAGCTGTAGTCACGAGGGGTGCGTCTCTCGAGGCGTTGTACCTGTTTTCTGACTGTTTAGGTTGGCGCTAGGGCGAACGTAGCTATGGGCCGAGGAACGGGCCCATTCTACCCCCCCACACCCACCACACACACCGCGGCTGACTTGACTGCCCTTAGAGGGCTTAACGGTACAAGTGTGATGGCTAGGTTTTTCTTGGTGGGACGGTGGGAATTGCGGAAAAGTTTAGTGGGTGAATCTAACGTGACCGCGAATCACAGGGAAAAAATATTCGCAGATTCCTTCTCAAATAAAACCGTCTTTTTCTGGTGTGTTAATGTGGAAGACGTCGTCTGTTCGATGAAGAGTGGCTGCCAATGTGTCCATTACCAAAAGTGCTAAATTTCTTATAGAGAACATTATACCATAGGTTAATTCAAGACTCTCTCCGCAAGTGGGGCTAAGCTATTAACATATTTTTTAAAATTTTGTGCGTTTTCTAATTCGGTAGAAAGCACTTGTGTTGTCACAACCAGAAAACGCATGTACTACACGTAAACAAAGGCTGACGATTTTATTTTTTCTAAACAATATTTTTTATTCATTAAATCTGAATTTGGATTGGGGAACAGACTATGCCTATGTGTAACCCCTCTCTCCGATTTAGATACATGTACATTATCAAAATATATACATACATACATAATTACATAAATATAGAATATATATGATACATAATGGATAATATAGAGACTCTAACAAAATATTACTTTAATTCATAACAAAGGAGTAGATTTCATTCTTAGATTTGTTTAGCACTGCTAAAGGTAGCTGTGACAGTTTGTGAATGTTATGTAGACTTTTGGTTAGGTCTTATGTCTGAAGCCAATTCTTGGCAAAGGCTTCCGATGCCCCACTCAATTTAATTGTTATTTCTTCGTTAAGTTAAAAATCTTCGTTAAAAAACAAACGCGTCTGCTTTTTATCGTGTGTTACTATTTCCGTTCAATCGGACACACGCGGATTTAACGAATAAAGTCGATTAATAGATACATGCGATATAAACAATAATATTTTACGGGAATTCCTACTTTGATTTCTCATTTTACAATACTTTTACATATATTTATTTTTATATATTTTATTTACAATACGTGGGGGATACACTGGATTTTTTTTTTCCAAATTGAACACTGATAAAATTGACATGTCTTGCAACATGAGTGGTACTACTTGATTCCCTATTTCCGAATCTTGCGGGATTAACTAATTATTCCGCTCGAGGTAAGTATTCCGCATTCCAAGGGGAGACTTTGTCTCTGGTGGCTTGCAAGTCTCGCAGTAGTAATCATTCATTCCGCTCGAGGCAAGCAAGATCTCCTAAGTAGCGTTTCGTCTCTCTTTGGTAACGTGCAAGTCATACAGAAGAAATTCATTACGCCGCTTAGGACAAGCACGGGCGAAGGCGGGCGTTTCCAAATATAGGGGGATTGTTTGTTTGAGTTGGGTTACGTTTCTAATTAAATTTGCGGGTTCCGTTTGGGTTATATAAGATTTGGTGCTTCTTTTGTACGAATATTGTTAGTTCGGACTGAGGCAGGCAGCAAGCTATGGTAGGCCTATGTATGTTTTATTGTAAAGTTACGAGTTTCTAATTAATTAGAAAGTTCTGTTTGGGTGATATAATATTTGGTGCTTCCCTTCGTACGAATATTGTTAGTTCGGGCTGATGCAGGCGAATTTATTGTTTATATTTTGTTACAGTTCTGAGTTCAAATTGATTCTGAGGGGTTTCGCTCGTGAGTTATATGATTTGGTGTAAGCGGACGCTACGTTTCTTGGTTCTGTAAAGCGGACATAGTGACATAAAAGGATAGTTGATGCAAACTTAGTGCAAGTCCTAGGTTGGGCACATTGACAAAAGGAATTAAGTTAAATTTAGCAACAGAAAATTTATTACAAACAAATTCAGAACATTGACAGTGCTGTATTTACTATAAGTATACTACATATTCCCATTCACTGCCTAGCTAGATTACGACAAACGCGTAGATGAAGAAGGGTGCAATTTATTTACATAAAAATAAAGGCAAGCATTTTTATCACCACCTGATAATTATCAAAAAAGTTTTACTTTATTATTTTGTGGCCTGGATTTTTGGCTAGCCCTATTTAAGGCACGTGCCTTATTTGGCTCATGGTTAATCCAGCACTGGCTGTACATGCCCGTCTTCATTAGCCCAGTCGGAGTAGAACAGTCACAGTGGCCAGTGGGACGTTAAATTTCATTTCATTTCCGAGCCATCAATAAATAAAATAAATTGAAAGTACAAGACTATTAGTATTTTAGTAATTAGGTTATTTTTTGATAGCGACACATTTCCTTGTCTACTTCTTCAATCAGTATCGACAATTCTGTCAATGTCATTTTCAATCGCAACAAATCTTTCGATGCTGTCATTGCAAGGTTGCTTTATGTCTAGGCGCGTCTGACCAGTACTCCGACTTGGAATTGCACTAAGCATACTGGATAACCAAGCTAGTTTACGTAAAATAAATAAACGACCTTCACCGCAGGGAGCAGTTATGGCGTTTTTTGTTTTGTTTATTTCTGTTTTTATCTTTGTTATTCAAAATAAACAAATGTTTTAAACATTTCAACTTGATATAAATGTTTTAAAATAGACTCGGATTAATATATTTTAGAATTGTCACCAATTATTATTACAATACAATTCTTCACACTTTTGAATATATAAGGAAATGATTGCTCAAGTATTCCGCGGGAAACTATGTCATTGTGAGCACGTGCAGACATAAACAATAACTGTACAACAACGTTTTATTTGATGCGTTTTTAGACTAGAGCAGAATTTATTTTTTTAGACAACTGAGGTGTTGTAAAATGCCGAAGCCCAAGAATCGGACAACTGTAAAAGTAACCAAAGAAGACAAGACAAATAAAAAGGGTAGGTCTATAATATTATAGTAATAATAATAATGTAATCTTATGAAAACCAAAAGCATGCACAGACAATGTACGTGTATTGGTACGTGATAATATTTCAGAAGTTCTGCTGAGCTGGGATTAATTAACACCAATGGAAAGCCCCTCAAAAATGCCAAATTTTGATACCAAAATCATCACAATACATGTAGGTGGAATAATAAAATGTGATAATGAGATATTCTATTTTTATTAGTTGGCATATATCACCATGAAATTTTCAGGGGATATTTCTGTCACTGTATTTTAAAAGATGCAATTATTAAATAGAATCATTATTAGCCCACTGATTAGCAATTAATTAAAATACATGATGCAAGAGCTAAATCTAAATGTTATCTAAATTATTAAACATCCATTATGCAAGAGCTAAATCTGCCTATTGTAGGTCTTTCTTTAGGCCTGAAATGTTTCTAAAGTATTAATTAGACATTAATAAACTGATCCAGGCCTTAATCAACTCTCGATGGCATCAGATTTCTCCGATATTAAATAGATTAGAATGGTTCAGCGATACTTTGATTTAATCAAATATGGAGGACAGAGACTTAGCTTCGATCAACCAGTACGGTGGTTGAAATTATTGCACACGTCTGTCAAACCTTCAAAGGCTAATATCTTCGCTTGCAATAGAGTAATTTGAATGAAATTTTCAAATTATTCATTTTACATCATCTACTTTCGAACTATTATAGCAAGAATGGCTAGTTCTTTATCTAAATCTTACATAATGTATCTTTAATTAGACATTAATAAACCTGTCCAGACCATAATCAACTCTCGATGGCATCGCTAGCCTGCGATCTTTAGTGGATTATGAGCCGATTTACTGCATAACTTTCCTTCGAAATTTAATGATTAAATGGATAATCGAGACACTGTTTATCGTACTGACTTCAGTATTAGTAATGATGATCAAGGCTAGACGGAAATTTCAATCGCTTAATTCTCGGTTCATAGAGGACAAATTTGAATGAAATTTTCAACAATTTGCCTTTACATTATCTATTTTTTAACTATTATAGTGAGAACTGCCAACTCGTTATCTGATCTTCCATAATGTATCTTTAAGTCAGAGCTTACATTGGAAGATAATTAATTTTATAATCGTTAACAAACTTCACTGAAGTTCCCACAGTTAACAACCTTCTAAACATTAAATATTTACTACATAAGTTTACATGTATCAGTACTCCAACACAGTTAATGAGGGCTTTTATTATTAATAATAATCGATCCCTGCTTGGCCGAGAAAGTTTATCCAGGTTTCCCCCTTGTCAGTGGTGCAGGATGGAAGGCCTGACAATGACAGCTACCTAGACATTTGGATAGAAGGAAAAACCTAGGTCCCGTATATACATTGGCGTGTACGTAAAAGATCCCTTGACAGTTGGAATTCGATATAAGAGTAGGCTGTAGCGCCGCTGCCCAGACTAAATTTACCTCCTAGCACACTGTATGGCATATGCCCGCTTCATTAGCCCAGTTCAGAACAGAACAGGAGGACGTTAAACTCCATTTTATTTTATTTCCTTGCTTGAAATGGTTTTATACGCCCACATTTTCATGAGTGGTTAAAAACAAAGTCATGGGTATCACAAAACCATCTTTTATAGTATCTTAACGTTTGGTAAGTCTAAAAGCCTACTTCTTCAGAGAAGCGTTAGATACTATAAAAGATGGTTTTGTGATACCTATGACTTTGTTTTTAACCACTCCTACTACTGGTGTCACCGTATCAAGTTTATTATGACTTAGATCCCATCTAGGTTTATGTTATTCAAATGGTTTTGGATTCCTCTCTCTTTATATATTTGGATTCACACATTTTTATGAGGACGTATATTGTCGTCGCCCCTGTCCGTCTGTCCGTCCGTCCACAATTGTTTGTGAACACTCTAGAGGTCACAATTTTATCCGATTTCAATGAAACTTGAAATATAGGTTTATCACCCTAAGATATTGGCATGTATCGAACTGTAACTTCATGGAATATGGCCCTTGATTGTACGAAAAATCACATTTTTAGCTTGTGAACACTCTAGAGGTCACAATTTTATCCGATTTCAATGAAACTTGAAATATAGGTTTATCACCCTAAGATATTGGCATGTATCGGACTGTAACTTCATGGATTATGGCCCTTGATTGTACGAAAAATCACATTTTTAGCTTGTGAACACTGTAGAGGTCACAATTTTTATCCGATTTGGTTTAAACTTAAAATATATGTTTATAACCCAAAGATCTCAGTTCCTTTCGTTATTCGTGCATATCGGACGATAACTTCCTGAATTATGGCCCCTGATTGTACGAAAAATCACGTTTTTAGCTTGTAGACCCTATAGAGGTCATATTTTTTATCCGATTTAAAAAAACGTTTTAATATATCACCGTTACACCCTAAAGATGGCAGAGTTCGAATTTCGTGAAAATCAGACCAAAACTGACTGACAAAATGGCCGCCCATCGTTCTCAAATAGTGTAAAAAAATATGGTATATCAAGGTTGTGGACCCTATAGAGGTCACAATTTTTATCCGATTTTGTTGAAACTTGAAATGTAAGTTTATAACCCAAAGATCTCAGTTCCTTTTGATATTCGCGCATATCGGACCGTAACTTCCTGAATTATGACCCCTTATTGTATAAAAAATCACGTTTTTAGCTTGTGGACCCTATACCAAATCATAATTCTTGTCCGATTTAAAAAAAACGTTTGAATATATCACTGTTATACCCTAAGGATGGTTGAGATCAAATTTTGTAAAAACTGACAGACAAAATGGCTGCCTCTTGCACGCAAATAGTGTAAATGTATGGTATATCAAGGTTGTGGATCCTCTACCTTAGAGGTCACAATTTTGATCCGATTTTGATGAAACTTGAAATACATATTTATAACCCAAAGATCTTGGTTCCTTTCGATATTTGTGCATATTGGATCGTAACTTCCTGAATTATGGCCCTTGATTGTATGAAAAATCACTTCTTTTTTTGAGCTTGTTCTCTGTCCATCTCTTTCAAAATCTTGCATGGAAACCCCTTGTTCAAGATCTTTGTGACTTGTGAAATACGAGGGATGGCTGTCCATTGCTAAAGAGCGTGAGTAGTGCAACTTTCAAGGCTTAATGACCTTGTTTGGACATGCTTTAAACATGCATTATGCAAAAGCTAAATCGCCTATCACAGGTCTTTCTTTGTGCCTTAAATGTTATATAAATTAGTAATTAGACATTAATTAACTTAGGAAGACCATAATCAACTCTCGATGCCATCAGATTCAGACAGTCTAGATTTTTGATAGATTTAAATATGATTTGCGTTTGAATATTTAGCATAAAAATGGATAATCAAGACTTTGTTTATTATCATAATAATAGTATCGATGACAATCAAGGCTACACTGTATTTGTATCGACGATAACTCACCTCAGACTACAGTAATTTGACTGAAATTTTCATTATATTCCATTTTCATTATATATTCCATTATCAATATATATTCCATTTTCATTATATATTCCATTTTCATTATATATTCCATTTTCAATATATATTCCATTTTCAATATATATACAATATATATATTCCATTTTCAATATATATATTCCATTTTCATTATATATTTTTTAAGTATTATAGCGAGAACTGTCAGCTCTTTATCTAATCGTACATAATGCCCCTTTAAAAGCCTGTTTGGCCCCCACAAAACTCCTGAAAGGCTTTGTATTCTGCTTTTGTTTTTGAGTTGAAAGATTTTACTCAGTACACGTAGCTTTTTAATACTTGAGATGGAAGTGAAGATTGGTGAGGTAGAGTTGACAGGTCTGTCTGTCCGTTAGATTCTGTAACACCATTCTACCTATGTAGACTATATTTTTTTATGTTTTTTTTTTTCAGACAAGACTAGCAATATTTGTAGAAAGATTTCCCCTGTACACGATTTTGATGAGGAAGAAATTAAGAAAATCCGCTTGAATCTTGTAGAATGGTATCAGTGTAATAAACGTGATCTTCCATGGAGAAAACTGGTACGAATATTATCTTATTCCCTTACAAGCTAAATCTGTCTATTGCAGGCCTTTTTGTCCCCTGCCTTTCGAAGATCCCTGGCATCCTATCTTTAAACTATTGTAGCAGCTTTTTATCCAAATCTCACATAAATAATAGTGACATACCTGTAACCTTACTGGAGCCACGGTGGCTGGTTGGTTAAGACGCTGGCTCGCTAGCTTGGAGGTCGGGTGTTCGACCCCAGCATTGGCCGAGAAAGTTCATCGTGATTTTCCGACATGGTTTCCCCTTGTCAGTGGTGCAGAACGGAGGACCTGACAAGGACAGCTGCCTAGTTCTTCGGATGATACGAAAAACCGAGGTCCCGTGTATACATTGGAATGCACGTAAAAGATCCCTTGGCAGTTGGAATTCGATAAAAGAGTAGGATATAGTTACGCTGTCCGGGCAAAATTTCCCTCATAGAACACTGTATCATGTATGGTGTATGCCCGTCTTCATTAGCCCAGTATAGGAGCAGAACAGTAGGACGTTAAACCCCATTTCATTTCATTTGTAACCTTACTAGAGCTATAACTCTGGTGTATACCGTTTTCTCCCACTGTTAAAGACCCCTAGCTATGCACAAGTGATTGAATTCTATGTTAGTCCCAAAATGATCTAGTTTGTGTTGAGTAGATGTTAAACGTCATTCTTCTCTCTCATTAACTCTGTTGTAGCTATTACCGTCTATTGTTCATGGGGAAATCTATTAACTCTGTTAGTCTGTTGTAGCTGTTACCGTCTATTGTTCATGGGGAAATCTATTAACTCTGTTAGTCTGTTGTAGCTGTTACCGTCTATTGTTCATGGGGAAATCTATTAACTCTGTTAGTCTGTTGTAGCTGTTACCGTCTATTGTTCATGGGGAAATCCATTAACTCTGTTAGTCTGTTGTAGCTGTTACCGTCTATTGTTCATGGGGAAATCTATTAACTCTGTTAGTCTGTTGTAGCTGTTACGTCTATTGTTCATGGGGAAATCTATTAAGTCTGTTGTAGCTGTTACCGTCTATTGTTCATGGGGAAATCCATTAACTCTTTTAGTCTGTTGTAGCTGTTACCGTCTATTGTTCATGGGGAAATCCATTAACTCTGTTAGTCTGTTGTAGCTGTTACTGAATTTAACTCTGAGCCCTGTTTCACAAAAACTTAAATCTCCTTAAAATCGTCTTTAACTAAAATTCCATCCTAACTTAAGATAGATGCGTTTCACAAAACGATTTTAAGCATTTTAGATAAAATCCACCCAAATAATATTGTAAGTTAAAATTGTATCTTAACTTAAAATAGTGGCGTTTCACATAACTATTTTAGGGACAATTTTACCTAAAATCAATTTTAACTTCAGACAGCCGTCACCCTCTCCTAACTTAAAATCATGACATTAACACATATTGATCAGAGCTACGTTGTGAGATCTATTGCGACATATAGATTTATTGCCAATGATAATATTGCCAATGGCCCGGCTTATATAATTTAAACATACTATCATTCACAAAAATAATTTTCATTCAATTTCTTTTCATTGCATGGGAAAATAGCTGCGGCCCACCCGTTTATTTTATTGTAAGGCAATATAAGCAATTAGATGATGCCCCAAATTAAATCCCCAAGACCAGAAAAAAACAAAAACCTCAAAACCCCAGTTTAAAGAGAGAGAGAGAGATGGGGTTTAACTGCAGAGAGAGAGAGAGAGGGTCATTTTGGGACTAACACATGGTTCAATTTTATTTGAATAATTCGCTTGCGCGAAGGGGTCTTTAGTAGTGGGAGGAAACCGGAGGACTCGGGGAAAACCCAGGAGGTTGGATGGGCGATCCTTATCCCTCGCGTACAACCGGGGAATCGAAACCCCATCAGTCCTATAATACTAGATACGCCATATGCAAAGTATTTATGGTTTTGGGGTTATGCATCTTCAATAGAAGGCTTGATCTCGCCTTAACTATGTACATGATGTTGTAAAACTCGCGGTCGTTTCTTCAGGAACATGGGGGTTATGATGATTTATATAGGCACTTTAGCATTTTCAAATTATTATTGAAAGGGTCCACTGACATTTCAAATCTAGGCCTCGGAACATTGGTTATTTCATGTATTAGTTAAAAAGTTATTAAATATTTTTAAAATAGTCTAGATTAACCCTTTGAGTCAGAAATATCACATGTTTGTGACAATTTCTCAATAGTTTATGTTATCCAAAATACCATAAAACTACGAAATTCAAGCGATTTAGTTTATCGATATGCATTATTTCCATCGAAGCCTGCAAGTTCAAGGCCAACCAACTGATACATTTCAAAACTAATGACACGCAATAAACTTATTTATTTCATCTCTCTGACTGTCTGACCACATGCAGACATTGTTACAACGTATGGAACCCTCCTCATTGGTATTGTAACGGTTAGTTCAAGCTAGCAACAGTTTTCAGTTCCGAAGTGTGTATGCTTACACCCTAAGTGCAATCACTGGAATTGTGCACTGCGCGAGCGCAAGCAATTTTAACTAAAATCAATTAAAATTGCATTTTAAGTTTCAATCGATCTTTGTGAAACGCATAAAATTTAAAATTTCAGTTTGATTTTAGTTTTTGTGAAACAGGGCCCTGGTATAGATATTATTATCTTATTGGTTATAGGGAAATACCCTAATTGTCCAGATGACCATATATAAATAAAATAAAAGTATGTATGCTCGCACATCCCCTTTAGTCGGCACATTCGACCCCCACATATGTGGTATCTAATTTTGCCCCGGGCGGAGTCGTGTATCCTACTAGTTACAAATATTAAGGACGTCCCACTGTGATACAAGTATGTTTTGTTTTGTTACAGGCAACAGATCCCGATATAAATAAAAGATCTTATTCTGGTAAGTTTCAATCTTTTTTACAATTCAATTAAAAACCTAGTACATGGTCCTTGCCTAGTTTATAATATTACTCTGTTTGATTTGAGCAGATGGAAGCACTAGATGGAACAGTGATGAATTAAATATTTCGCAACAATCGGCAAACTCTTTAGACATACAACCAGCATCATCTATATAAATCTTTTGATGGGCCTCTTTGTAATCCAACTGATTCCAATCCAAGAGCTTTTCTATGGTTGGGGGGTTGGATGGCCGAATGGTTAGCACGTGCACGCTGTATCATAAGGTCTGTCATTGGGTCAACTGGCATGGTTTCGGTTCCCCGTTTGTATGTTTACTCCGGGTCCTCCGGTTTCCTCCCACTGCTAAAGACCTCTACGCGCAAGCAAATAATTGAAATAAAATTGAACCATGTGTTAGTCCCGAAATGACCTAGTTTGTGTCGAGTGGATGTTAAACCTAATTTCTCTCTCTCTCTCTCTTTCTATGGTTTTGTTTTTGTGTTCTTAATTAAAGATACATTGTCCTGCAAGTATTTATAGGGTGGTTATTTTCAATTAAAGATACATTGTCCTGCAAGTATTTATAGGGTGGTTATTTTCAATTAAAGATACATTTATAGGGTGGTTATTTTCAATTAAAGATACATTGTCCTGCAAGTATTTATAGGGTGGTTATTTTCAATTAAAGAATGGCAAATTTAGTATATATATAAAGTATAGACACCCAATCTTACTAGAACAATACTGAATTACCCGAAAAACATGCATGGGGCAAGCACTGGGCAAAAATGTCAGGGTATCACTAACTGGCAACCGGACTAGTCTGCCAGCTTGACTGAGGGAGCAGTTGTTATTTCTTGATCAAATGTTATGTGATTTTGGGAACATTGAGGGGTGTCAACGTACAAAAGACTCTGCAATTAAATGTCAGAAAAAAGAATTTGACAGGAATTTACTTAGGCCTCATCAATATGTTTGGTAAAAAAGTAAATATTGAAAAATACTATTCTGAAAATTAGAACCTTCCTCAATGAAGTAAGGTTGACAGTTTTAATTATAGCTGAGGTATCTCCCAGCGGAAACAAAGTTTTAAGAAGTATTTGCAGCAGATTCTTGATGGATTAATTAGCTTCAATATGTTTTTAGTCCAAACATGTTGAATGAAAAATTTAGGTATATTTTAGGGTGGAGAGAGAGAGAAATGGGGTTTAACGTCCACTCAACACAAACTAGGGCATTTATGGACTAACATATGGTTCAATTTTATTTCAATAATTCTCTTGCGCGTAGGGTTCTTTAGCAGTGGGAGAAAACCGGAGGACCCAGAGAAAACCCACGAGGTTGGACAGGCGACTCTACTCCTTGTCATGTACAACAAGGGAATCGAAAACCTCGCCAGTTGACTCAATGACAGACCTTATGATACAACGCGGATATGCTAACCATTTGGCCATCTAACGCACATGCTTACCATTCAGTTATCCAACCATTTTAGGGTGGATTAAGCTGTAAGAAATAAGATATTTGTTTGTAAAATGGACAGTGAAATTATGTATTTATTGTTTTTGTTTATTTATAGTTTGGGTATCGGAGGTTATGTTACAACAAACACAAGTTGCTACGGTGATAGATTATTACAATAAATGGATAAAAGTAAGTTTCAACAAGAAAATCATGAACAATACAATACGAATAGTGTTCAGTTGTAATGTCTGTACAATACAATACAAATGGTCTTTAGTTGTAATGTCTGTACAAATGGTCTTCAGTTCTAATGTCTGTCCATGGAATGAAAAAGTTTGTTTGGTTATAAATTAAAGTACCGGTAGGAGAGATGGGTAGATGGTCCAACATGTGCAATTTAGATAAAGTTTTAATCCCAACCTTCTAAGTGACAGTAGGTCCACTTGTGTGTTATTTCTTTCCTCCCAATCGTTTCATGCAATCAAATTATCAAAAATGTACCATATGTTAGTCCCCACACGACCTAATTTTTTGCTTGAATGGATGTTAAACCTTGTTTTTGTATCATGTGATTATTATGTTTATTCCATCTCTATAAATACCTACCAATTGCTAAAACACATGTTTGTTTTCTCTCTATCTACAGAAATGGCCAACATTAGTGGATTTAGCCAAGGCATCATTAGAGGTAAGGTCAGCTGATTCAGAACAACAGTGAATTTCAATATTTTAATTCTCTGTGCTTCATTTGCATTTTTTTGAAAATATAAAATTTTCCATGGCTTAATTCACGCTAAGATGTACACAAATTGAGGCAAGTCTTTAACTCGACATCATCCACAGTCTTCGACATTGCAAGTATTGGTCAATTTAAATGAACATTGATGTTGTTATCTTACTGTGAAAAGATGGACTTCTGATATCCAATATTAAGACAAAATGAAAATGTTAAAATTGGCACACGAATCGCGTACCAGTATGCTTTCGAGCGCCATTTGTATTGAAGCAACTCAAATAACGAGGCTAAACCCATTCCACAGGAGAATACTACAGGTGTAGAATGGAACAACCAGGTGCCAAAGACTGACATTCAATTCGGACTCTTCGTGTATTTCACTGAACGTAACCGATTAGAAATTACAATAAAAACAGAAACGACGGAATGTAAATCAGTTTATATACATTCATATTACATCATTATATGCTTTGCGATCCATTTGTGTCCATTTCTAGGTGCCAAAGAATGGCGGTTTAGCTCCTTTAACATTTAATTAAGAAAACAAAATCAAACTATTGATTGTAGATAATCTTGTGGCTTGGATTCAGAAGAATAGAATGGGGTCAGTAAAAAGATTTTAGCAAGGATTACAAGTTATACTGATTGTTTCATTTACAGACCAGGTCATTGATGGACTAGGATAAAGTTTAGTTTTATTTCAATAGTTCACTTGTGCATGGGGTTATTCACTGGGAGGAAACTGGACGAAGTGGAGAAAACCCATGAGGTTGGATAGGCAACCCTACTCCATGTCATGTACAAGTGGGGAATCAAAACCACACCACTTGACTCAATGATAGACTTTGCATTTTCACTCGCACGAGTTAAATATGTAGTGCACCGTCCTCTATTTGCAGCAGGTGCCTATTCTGACGGAATTGAACCATTTTTGAACTGATATTTGTTTAAAATAAATTTTTCACCCAAGGGATTCCAAAGCTATGTTATATAACTTGTTATGCTTGTTTTAATAGTTTTACAAGGGATTATAAAACTTGTTTTAACAGGAAGTAAACGAGATGTGGTCAGGTCTAGGTTACTATTCACGGGGTCGACGTCTTCAAGAAGGAGCTAAAAAGGTAGGTGTGGCATGTTACTAGACAGATGGGTCGTGATTTATTTCAGTCAGTTTTTAATACAAATAGTAATCACCGAATTGGCAAACATACTTCAGACATTATTTGTAATGACCACATTATATTTAGAAACTGATTAACCCCGACTCTGAATTAAAAACTGTGGATGGGGAGGCGGGGAATATGATGTAAAAAGAGAGAGAGAAATGGGGTTTAACGTTCACTCAACACAAATTAGGTCATTTCTGGACTAACATATGGTTTAATTTTATTTCAATAATTAGCTTGAGCCTAAGGGTCTTTAGCAGTGGGAGGAAACCGGAGGACCCGGAGAAAACCCACGAGGTTGGACAGGCAACCCTACTCCTTGTCACGTACAACCGGGGATTGGAAACAAAGCCAGTTGACTCAATGACAGGCCTTATGATACAGCACGCACGTGATAACTATTCGGCCATCCAACCCCCCAGTAATTGTAGGAGCCCTTCCTTCGTCCGGTTGGTACAGAAATGTAGAATGTAAAACTCAATTTGACATTATTATTATTATCTACACAACTGTTTTATCTGTTTTATTTGAGGTTGTTGAGGAATTAGGAGGTGAAATGCCAAGAAATGCTGAAGATTTATTAAATGAGCTAGCTGGGGTAGGTCGATATACAGCAGGAGCGATCGCATCAATAGCTTATAATCAGGTTACTGGATTAGTTGATGGCAATGTAATACGAGTTTTGTCTCGACTACGGTTAATAGGTGCTGATAGTACCAGTCATACATGTATGGATGTTTACTGGTAAGAAAATTTATTTAAGATTCTAACCCAGCCTCAGTATCCCCAGTGGTCTGATTCCGTTTTACTCCAGGATACCCTGGGTTAATCTGTGGGGTATTCACATATTCAAATTATTCGCCCTTGATGATTGTGCTATTTAAGATTCTAACCCAGCCTCAGTATCCCCAGTGGTCTCATTCCGTTCTACTCCACTACACCCCTGAGTTCATTGATGAGGGAGACACATATTCAAAGTAATAATTAGTTTGTTATCGTTAATATCTTTTAATTATGTGTATTTATTAAAATACTGAACTTTTTATAAGAACCTTATAAAGTATTTGATAATTTTTTAATTAGGCCCCTATTGTTTTATAAGAACTTCTTAAAAAAAAATTTTTTGTTCTTTCTTTAATGTGTAATTTTTTTTATTGTATTCATGCTATCGAGCATCTTTAAGCTGGATTTTGGGCGCGTTATAAATATGAGTAAATTATTGAATATAAATCGTTATGAACACAATACTCAGCGGTTTTGAAACTCCATTGCTTAATCTGGCATACAAGAGAACCATATTGAATTTCACATTTTGATTCTTAAATTTTATGATGTGATAAAATGAAATTGATTAAGATTTGGTGGGATCATTCACTGGAGTATAAGGCCAGTGGAAACCAATCAAGATTCAGATTGGAGTTATCTCCCATTTACTTTCAAATTCATGAAAACTTGTGTATGTGATACAAGCTGCTCATGGTAGTGTAAGAAAATTTCTGGATGATAAATTTCGAGCATGGTGTGCAGAGTTATCTACTCTTTCTTATTTTGACTGTGTTATGCTTTACAGAATAATATTTGCAATGGAAATGAAATGAATTGTTCTGCTCAAACTGGGCTAATGAAGATGGGTCTATGCCCTGACAGCTGTGTTACAGTCTGCTCTAATGTCGAATTCCAACTGCCAAGGGTTCTTTTACATGCAAGCTAGTGAGTACATGTGAGCTCAGTTTTTCATCCCAGACGAACGACTATACATTGTCCCTTGTCAAGTCCTCCATCCTGCAACACTGACAAAACCTGATAAACTTTCACGGTCAACACAGGGATTGAACACAGGACAACCCGGCTAGCGAGCCATTGTCTTACGCACTGAGCCACTATAGCTCCTATTTGCAGAATATTGTTTTCTATTGTTAATAGGGCTAGAGAGAGTAAGAGAGAGAGAGAGAGAGGGGGAGAGAGAGAGAGAGGGGGGTTAACCTCCACTCGACATAAACTAGGTCATTTCGGGACTAATAATAGACTTTAAGAAGCTAGTGATTGTAATGGGAGCATCAGGTAGAATCCTATTGAATTTAAAGATTTGATGATGTTATTATATTGCAGGCACCATGCCAATAAGTTAGTAGATGTTGATCAACCAGGTGATTTTAACCAAGGTTTGATGGAATTAGGGGCCACAGTGTGCACCCCAAAAACACCCAACTGTTCTGTTTGTCCACTTCAAAAATATTGTAAAGCTTATTCTCAGGTAAGAGAAACGTCTAATTGGTTCTGGTCGTTATTTTATTACACAACCTTTAAGATAACAGTACCTTTCTGTCACAACAGGTTGTATAACTTGTATTGGAGGAGAATTTAGCCTGGACAGCTGCGTTTCTGTTTACTGATAGAATTCTAATTGCCATAGATATTTTATGTGAATAGTCAATTGTGCAATCTTTTCTTCTCAACCCCACTCTGTCTTTATTAAGGCTGAGTCACACTAGTGGTTTATCCTAGTGAAAGTTCACATGAAAGGATTTAGCTTATGGATATAAAACCTCAGGTTAAACCCATTAGTGTGACTCAGCCTTAAGGCCATTTGGTGCAGAAAAGTTAGACACTAAACCCTGTTTCATTAAATGCCATACATTGGCACTGTGACCTACTCTTAGTCTTATTTTAAATCTATGTTTTTTGTACCATCCAAACGACTAGACACTTTCCTTGCAATGTCCTCTGTCTTTTTCCAACTATCAAGGGGAAACCATGCTGTATAAATTTCATGTGTAACACCAGGATCAAACGGCAGACCACCTGGGTAGTAAGTCGGGAGGGGGTTCTAGTGGTTTCAACACATGTCTGTGAAATCATTAAGTGCTGTCATTGAGTCATGTGGTGTGGTTTCGATTCTCAGCTTGTTCGTGACAAGGAGTAGGGTCACCTGTCCAAACTCGTGGGTTTTCTCCATGTCCTGTGCTTTCCACCCTTATGCGCAAGCAAAAAATGGAAGTAGAATTGAAACATGTTAGTCCCGAAATGACCTAGTTTGTGTTGGGTGTTCATTAAACGCTATTTCTCTCTCTCTCTGTTTATTAAGCCTTACTCACTCAACCATATCTTTAAAGAAACATGACTGATTACAATTTGATAATATTTGTAGGTAGAAGTCCATAAAACAGACAACGCTAGTAAATTGTTATCAGATGTTACAAAGAATGGAAAAATAAAAATGGCAGAGATTTCAGATATTGAATGCTGTATGTATGTATGTAAAAATGTCTCGTGAAAACAAACAATGAAAGGGATAGGGTCGTCGTGTGGTCTAATGGGTTAGGGGTAGGGGTGGATGGTCGTGTGGTCTAATGGGTTAGGGGTAGGGGTGGATGGTCGTGTGGTCTAATGGGTTAGGGGTAGGGGTGGATGGTCGTGTGGGCTAATGGGTTAGGGGTAGGGGTGGATGGTCGTGTGGTCTAATGGGGTAGGGGTAGGGGTGGATGGTCGTGTGGGCTAATGGGTTAGGGGTAGTTGTAGGGGTGGATGGTCGTGTGGTCTAATGGGTTAGGGGTAGGGGTGGATGGTCGTGTGGTCTAATGGGTTAGGGGTAGGGGTGGATGGTCGTGTGGGCTAATGGGTTAAGGGTAGGGGTGGATGGTCGTGTGGTCTAATGGATCATAAAGTTCTGTCATTGAGTCATGTGGTTTGGTTTCCATCCCAAGCTGGTATGTGACAAAAAATAGGGTCGTCTGCCCAATCTCTTGAGTTATCCTCAGGTCCTTTGATTTCCTCCCACGGCTGTTTCACTGTAAACCAGGTATCATTTAATCTTGTGTATTTAGCACTAATTTCTTTAACATTCATTGTCCCCCGCCTTTCGAAGAAAGCAGGGGACTATTAAAATGGGTTCGTCCGTCTGTCTGTCTGTCCGTCTGTCTGTCCGTCTGTCTGTCCGTCACACTTTTTGGGACACAATAACTCTCTTCCTAATTGAGCTAGAATGTTCACACTTGGTGTATGTGTTTATTAGGTCAATGCCTTGATGGAGTTCGAAGATGAGCATTTTCCGCTTAGGGTAAGCAGAGATAAGCAATTTGATTGGTTGATGCTTTGGGACACGATAACTCTCTTCCTAATTGGGCTAGAATGTTCAAACTTGGTGTATGTGTTGATTAGGTCAATGCCTTGATGGAGTTCGAAGATATTAGCATTTTCCGCTTAGGGTAAGCAGAGATAAGCAATTTGATTGGTTGATGCTTTGGGACCGATAACTTTTAATTGAGCTAGAATGTTCAAACTTGGTGTATGTGTTTATTAGGTCAATGCCTTGATGGAGTTCGAAGATGAGCATTTTCCGCTTAGGGTAAGCAGAGATAAGCAATTTGATTGGTTGATACTTTGGGGCACGATAACTCTCTTCCTAATTGAGCTAGAATGTTCAAACTTGGTGTATGTGTTGATTAGGTCAATGCCTTGATGGAGTTCGAAGATGAGCATTTTCCGCTTAGGGTAAGCAGAGATAAGCAATTTGATTGGTTGATGCTTTGGGACACGATAACTTTAGTTCTAATTAAGTGAGAACTATTATAAATTAATTAAATATGTAGTATGCAATAATGAATTGACATTTAATGACAGAAAGAAAACAGTGAACTTTGCACAACTTGCAGCAAGATGGAAAATAGACCCGTTGATACAACCAAACTCTAGATCTGTAGGCATAGAGCATGTTTTCCCCTTAATATGCTATAATTATTCCATCAAAAACATTGTATGCTTAGACTATAAGTAAAGATATACTGTTTGATTGTTCAATACTTTGTAAAAGATAATTTGTGATAAATTTATATGTGTCCTCTAATTATTTTACTATTTCGGCGGGGGACATCAGCCTCACTGTTGGCTTGTTTAATATCAAATCTTTGTTAATATTACAAATTGGATGATTTTGGGTGATTTTAAACGATTTTTACGAATATTTAAACAAAGATTTGATATTAAATGATTGTGAAAGAAATTAGGGCTAAATACACCAGATTAAATGATACCCAAGCAAGCGCTGAAATAAGCGTCCGGACACGGACAATGTCTGGGCGAATTGACCCCTTTTGACAGGCCAAATTGCCTTTCGTCCGGACATAATTGTCCGACCGTGTTTTTGTAAAACATTATGTCAAAAATATTTGAGTCGATCGCTATTTATTATTAGACTCGAAAGTCCAGAACCAAAAATATCAATGACCCGAGTCATAGTGAAAATGTTACTATTTATATCTCGGCCGCGTGCAGATAAAATCTTCAATAATTTTTAGAACCGACTCTTTTACGCTGGTTATATCAACGACCCGAGTCATAGTAAAAATATTACTATTTATACATGTATCTCTCTCGGCCACGTGAAGAAAAAATAATGAATAATATTGAGAATCGGCTCTTTTACACTGGTTATTCGAGTCTCGTAGCTAGCTTTGCATTACTTTCGTATATGATTAGCTCTAAATCACACCTAACATGACATGTAATTATATAAATTATTAGTTATAAAAGTAATAATATTTTAAAATTAGTTTACAAGAAAATGTCCAAGTTGACTATGGATGTAATTAGGGACAGATTTTTTATACGAAAATATCTCACTTTGTTGGACACTTCCAATGTGAATGTAAATAGAAGAGCCGTGAAAACATGTCGAATAAAATAACTTCTTACTTTTCCCAACCCTCGGACACGGATATCCCGGCTAGTGGGACCGTTCCAGAAAATTCAAAGACTGGTACTGTGTCTTAATCTTATGTCTCTCATAAAGACACTTCTAAACGGGGGGCGTCGCCGTCACCAGTTGGAAAATTACAAAAACGAGCCGTAGAACTAGAAAAGTGGATCAAAAATGACTTGGCAGATTCTGAACCATTTACGACAACTCATATTTAATTAAGATGTCTATTCTTTAGTTAAATTTGAATCTTAATCAGAGTTTTTAGGATTTAGTCCCCAGCCCAACCAAAGAGATTAATGACATTATTATATGAACTATAAAGTTGTATTCCATATACATATAAAAACTTAAAACTCCAGGTTGTATGTGAGTCATCAATTTATTTTATTAATAAATGTATGTATAATAATATATATAAACATAGTAAATTTCAACAGTTTTTTGGTTTAATATACTTTATAAAGTATTTGTCAGGCTGAAAATCTGAAATGTCCGGCCGAAAATCAGTTCAGCCTGACATGATGTCAGGCTGAACCTTAGCAGTTATTTCAAGGCTTGTACCCAAGTTACAGTGATAACGACCACTGTGTGCAAGCGAATTATTGAAATAAAATTGAATCTAGTTTTGTCAAGTGGATGTTAAACCCTATCTGTCTCTCTCATTGCAAGAGAGAAAATAAGAGGGATGAAATCATTGAAAGAGAACAAATAAGAGAAATGAAATGAGTGTTAATCTTCTACTTTTTGGAACTGACTTGGTCAATCAAGACAATGCATACCCAATACAGTTTGTGATATGGGTAATTTTGCCCAGACAGCAGCACTATCGCCTACTTTTATTTTGAATTCCAACTTTGAAGACCGATTGATTGTAGCTCCCACTTGATCAAATCTCCAAATAATAAAACCAGTTATCACATTTCTGACAAATATTTAGTTTAATATAACAGAGTTTCCATTAAAAATACAAACAAGCGTGTGAAGTCATCGATTAGCACTTTATAATCAAGATAGAAGAGAACTTATCAAATCCCAACATTCATTATTTTACATAGGACTACATGAACCAACTAGAAATTGAACAGTTAAATAGATTTTTTTTTAAATTTTCAGTAGTTGAAGATTGTTCACTTGGTTTTTTATTTTTTCAGTAGTTGAAGATTGTTCACTTTGTTTTGATAAAACAGAAACATGGGATCCAAGGTATAGTGTAGTGACATATATATATTAAAGATGCATTATGTCAGATCTAAATTAGCAGGGTTTTTTTTCTAGCTTTGAATATTATACAAATTATTGTCTATTCACGACAAGTTCATGATCAACTCTCTAGACCATCAGATGGGCGTAAGTCCATGACAAGTCCATGACAAGTCCATGATCAACTCTCTAGAACATCAGATGGGCGTAAGTCCATGATCAACTCTCTAGAACATCAGATGGGCGGGATTTTCAATAGAATAAAACACAATTACTAGTTAATAATTTAACTAAAGAATTGGATAATCCGATACTTTGCCGGTTAATAATTTAACTAAAAATTGTATAATCCGAGACTTGTTTATTATTTTATGAAAGCTTTAAACTCCCATAACAGAATAAAGTAATTTCAATATATTCATACTTTATTTTTGAACTATTGTGGCTAACTTTTTATCCGATTTTGATGAAACTTAATATGTATGTTTATAACACAAAGATGTTGGTTCATTTCGATATTGATAATTGGTGCATTTTTCAGAATGTATCTATCATTATTTACTGTCCATTTACCGAAAATATTGAGGCCTAAATAAATTCCTGAATTACTCTCTGTCAACTTCTTTTTCTGCTGTTTAATTGCAGAGTCTGTTATACGTATACATTTACTTTACACCCCTTAATATTCCCAAAACCGCATACATTAAGCCGTCGGACAAGCCATCGGGTTGCCAGTTAGTGATGCCCTGACATTTTAGCCCACTTCTTGTCCCATGTGTGTTTTTTTTCGAGTAATCCAGTATTTTTCTAGAAAGATTGGGTGTCTATACTGTCCAATATATACCAAATTTGCCATATTTTTATTGGAAATAACCACCCGATAAATACTTGCAGGACAATGTATCTTTAAATGTTAAGTTTGTTATTTTTCTTAATAATACTTTAATCACATATATGTATATTTTACCAAGATAATTTCACACAACATCGTTTTTTACAGTCATAATTTGCAAGTGTTCTGCTGGGTTTTTATACGCCTACATTTTCATGTGGACGTATATTGTCGTCACGCCTATCCGTCCGTCCGCAATTTGTTTGTGGACACTCTACAGGTAACAATTTTTATAAGATTTTGACAAAACTTAAAATATAGGTCTATCTCCCAAAGATCTCGGCATATATCGGACGATAACTTCACGGATTATGGACCCTGATTGTTCGAAAAATCATGTTTTTAGCATGTGAACACTCTAAAGGTCACAATTTTTATCTGATTTTGATAAAACTTGAAATACATATTTATTTCCAAAAGATCTTGGTTCCTTTCAATATTCACGCATATCGGATAACTTCCTGAATTATGGCCCGTGATTGTACGAATAATCATGTTTTTAGCTTTTGGTCCCTCTAGAGGTAACAATTTTTATCCGATTAAAAAAAAAGTTTGAATATATCACCGTTACACCCTAATGATGGTTGAGTTCGAATTTTGTGAAAATCAGACCAAAATGGCCGCCCCTTGTACGCAAATAGTGTATATATGGTATATCAAGGTTGAGGCAACATTTTGATCTGATTTTGATGAAACTTGAAATACATGTTTATAACCCAACAATCTTGGTTCCTTGGCACAATGTTGGCACATATCAGATCGTAACTTCCTGAATTATGGCCCTTGATTGTACGAAAAATCATGTTTTTAGCTTTTGGTCCCTCTAGAGGTCATAATTTTTATCTGATTGAAAAAAACGTTTGAATATATCACTGTTGCACTCTAATGACGGGTGGTTTACCACTATATTACTCTTTCAAAACAGTAGCTCTGTGAGTTATGTCGCTGGCTTGCTAACCAGGCATTTTCAAGTTTTCTCCTCGTGTTGGATTTCCGACATAGTTTCCCCTTATAACTGGCAACGAACGGTGTCTAGTCGTTCGTATTGAATAAAAAACGTGGTCACATTGGCGTGCATGTGAAATAATGCTTGACAATTGGAATTCGAAATAAGAGTAGGTCATAGTAAAGTTTCTGCCAAAACACACTGTATGACATAATGCGATCTTCGTAAATTCAGTCGATGCAGAAAGTATTAATCTGTAATTTAACCTCTATATCTGTATTTTAACCCATATACCTGTATTTTAACCTATATACCTGTATTTTAACCTATATACCTGTATTTTAACCTCTATACCTGTATTTTAACCCATATATCTGTATTTTAACCTATATACCTGTATTTTAACCTATATACCTGTATTTTAACCTCTATACCTGTATTTTAACCTATATACCTGTATTTTAACCTTGTATTTAACCTATATACCTGTATTTTAACCTATATACCTGTATTTTAACCTATATACCTGTATTTTAACCTATATACCTGTATTTTAACCTTGTATTTAACCTCTATACCTGTATTTTAACCTATATACCTGTATTTTAACCTTGTATTTTAACCTCTATATCTGTATAATTGTAGTATGGGTGTGATGAATTATCCTAGAAAAGTAAAGAAGAAAGCCGCCCGGGAGGAGAGAACAGTTGTATGTATTATTAGTCGGACAGATTCGGACAATAATCTCGAATATCTTATAACACAAAGACCACAAAAAGGTATTGCCTAATTCTATTTGAATTATCCGCCTTATCATTGTTAACATAGTAAGTTAACATTCAAACTCGTGGTGTCAACTGTTGAACTATCGGCATTCTGGATACAACCACGGTCAAGACTGGTCACACAGGTGGCATTATTGTTCTCGGGTTTGTCTTATTGGTTAAAGGGGGTTGGGTGGCCGAATGGTTAGCACGTGCGCATTATATCATTGAGTCAACTGACATGGTTTCGAATCTCCGGTTGTACGTGACAAGGAGTAGGGTCGCCTGTCCAACCTCGTGGGTTTTTCCAGGTCCTTCGGTTTACTCCAACTGCTAAAGACCCCTTCGTGCAAGTGAATTATTGAAATGAAATTGAACCATGTGTTAGTCCCGAAATGACTTAGTTTGTGTCGAGTGGACGTTAAACCTCATTTCTCTCTCTCTTATTGGTTTAAGACTGGTCACATTATTGTGGGCAGGTTGCGCTATTGTTATAGTTTGCATGTAGTGCGACCCAACTGTACTTACTATTAATGTGTTGAGTGCAAGCATCTCAAGGATATTAGATTGAATTTTTACCATTGTCAGTCATTACATCACATGTTTGCCCAACCGGGTTTATATGGTAAAGTGTTAGACTTTTTAAAAGAGGCAGGTTTTTATTATAAATTTTAATTGTATTGATATGTCATTTCATTTTTGTATTTTAGATAGTTATATGTATAAAAGATGAATTTTATTTGTAATGTTACTTACTGTAATACTGATTTTATTTATGCATGTAATTTATTCTGTGATATAATTTAGCCTGTCTCTAAATAATCACCATATGTTTGGCGCAATATAGCCCGGTTGGAGCTGACGTGCCATTAAGCAACATTTCATTTCATTCATTCATTACTGTTAAAGTGTATTATGCATACTCTTTTGTTTCCAGCATGATCTATCAGAGCATTTCATTGGTGCTAAAAAGAAGAACTATTAAACAACATTTAAATTATTAAAACAAAAAAAACCAAGATTCAATAATCTGTAATTTATTCAGATCGCATGAAATTTATTTTTTAGGATTACTGGCAGGTTTATGGGAATTTCCTTCACAGCTGATAACAGATGAGTCATGTGACATTACAGACACTCTAAATACCAAATATGGTATTGTTTTATCAGGTGATTGTAAGAGGTTAAAGGTCGGAGAGGTTGTACATATATTTTCTCACATACATCAAACATATGTAGTAGAATCTATTACACTGACTGATCATATTAAAGATAAAACTAACCAAGATGATGTAAGATGGGTAACTAAAGATGATTTCCTTCAGTCAGCCATTTCAACAGCCATGAAAAAGGTAAAGTTTAAAATGCCCTTTTGAAAATCATCTGATCTGTATAAAATTCACATGTATTATTTAAATTAGTAAAATGAAGAAACCTAATGAATTTCAGCAATTGCTGTTAATAACTTTGAGATTTATGGCCCTTGTTTCAATTTGTTGAACCTTGTTAATGCTCTGTTATACAGGGATTCTTCCACCCATCTGCAGTACTTCCAGTGAGGAGTTAATTTGTGACAGTCTTGGATTTTAATTATCAATAAAAATGAATATTAAAATGTTGCACTAATAAGTGCCATGTACATATACACAGAGTTAATAAATATATGTCCTAGGATTGATTCCTGTGTTTGACTAGAAAGTTCCTGGATTCAGATTATGATGGGTGATTGACCTTGTGTTATTAGTAGTAATACAGTAGTAATAGAAGTTTTATTATAATCTCTTCCAGTGCGTGTGTATAAGATGTGCAATTTCTATATTTTGGGGGTTTGTTTTATGTCATGTAAGTTCTCAAACCAATCAATTTAACAAGACTGGTAAATATGGATGAAACGGAAGCATTGATCATGTTTCTCCGCTCAATTCGAAATAAATAAATACTGGTTGATATTCATATAATGATAAGATAACTGGGCACTCCTGTTTATAAAGATTGCGAAACTAAAACTAAATGATAAGCCAATAAGGGTTGTTGTGTGGTAGCTGTGAGGAGGATTGGGGGGCTGAATGGTCTAAGGTTTGTGCTCTTAGATCAGAAGATCTGTCTTTGAGTCAAGTTGCATAGTTTCGAACCCCCACTTGTACATGAGCAGGGTCACCTGTCAAACCCCATGGGTTTTTGGTGGGTCTTCTGGTTTCCTCCCACTGCTCAAGATCCTTAAGTGCAAGCGAATTATTTAAATAAAATTGAACCATATGTTATGTTGAGTGGACGTTAAATCCTCACTGAATATGAGATTTTTGTCCCCAGCCTTTCGAAAAAAACCAGGGTACTATTAAAATGGGTCTGTCCATCACACTTTTTGGGACACAATAACTCTCCTTCTAATTGAGCTAGAATATTTATGGCGTAGGTGTTTATTAGGTCAATGCCTTGATGGACTTCAAAGATAAGTATTTTATGCTTTGAGTAAGCGGAGATAAGCAATTTGATATGTTAATGCTTTGGGACACGATTACTTTATTTCTTAAGCGAGAGTGATGAAATTTGTTTTTTGACTTAGTTTGATAATAAGCATTTTCTGTTCAGCATAAGCAGAGCGAAAACCAATTTGATTGGATTGAGACTTTGGAACACAATAACTCTCATTCTAATTGAGGTAGGATGTTCAAACTTGGTGTAGGTGTTTATTAGGTCAATGCCTTGATTGAGTTTGATGATAAACATTGTCTACTTACGGTAAGCAGAAAAAAGCCATCTGATTGGTTAATGCTTTGGGGCATGATAACTGTGGTTATAATTAAGTGAGAGGGCACCTCCGAATATAGATTCATCATATCATTACCTTGACTAAGTTTGATGGTGAGAATTTTCTGCTTAGGCTAAGGAGGGATAAGAAATTTGATTAGTCAAGACTTTGGAACATAGCAACTCTGCTTTTAATTGAGGTAGAAAGTTTAAATTTGGTGTAGATGTTCATTAGGTAAATGTCTTGACTGAGTTCAACAATTAACATTTCGAGCTAAAGCTAAGCAGAGCTAAGCAATTCCATTGGTCGATGCTTTAGGACAAGATAACTTTGATTCTATTTGATAGAGAGTGATGAAACTTAGTGTATGGTCGATAATCAGTTTGATTGCTCGATACTTTAAAAAAAAATAAATGTGCGATTAATTAATATGTGTCATCTATTTATTTTGGGATTTTGGTGGGGGATATCAGCCTCTCTGTTGGATTGTTAACATTATTCCTAGTACAATTCAATCATTATTCCTTAATTCCAGGTTTTTAAAGCTTATGAGAAGTCTTCTGACTCTTCAGCATCTTTTAACAAGGTAAATTTTTACTATATATATAATATACATGTAGTGTACAGATAATTATAAAGTCTAGTATTTTTATATGCCAACATGGAAATGTGGTCGTATATTGCCGTCACCCACAATTTCTTGTGAACACTCTACAGACTACATTTATCATCTGATTGTCCTTAAATTGATATATAATGTTGACATTAGTGAGATGAAGAATCCTCTTCAATAGTTTCCATTAATTGATTCTGGAGTTATGGCCCTTGTTTCATTTTATTGCACCTTGTGAAGAACGCTTTATCGACAAAAGTTATCACCCGATCTGTATTAAATTGATATGCATCCATTAAATTAGTGAAGCAAAGAAGCCTATTGAATTTCAACAATTTCAGTTAATTACGTCTAGAGTTATGGCCCTTATTTCATGTTGTAGACCCTTGTGAATGCTCTAACAACAAAAGTTATCATACGATTTGTATGAAATTTATATGCATCATTTGAGTTAGTGAAATGAAGAAGTCTATTGAATTTCAGCCATATCCATCAATTGCTTCTAGAGTTAATGTCCTTGTTTTTCTTTGTTGAACATTGTAATGGCTCAAATGACAAAGTCGTCATCCATTAAATTAGTGAAGCAAAGAAGCCTATTGAATTTCAACAATTTCAGTTAATTACGTCTAGAGTTATGGCCCTTATTTCATGTTGTAGACCCTTGTGAATGCTCTAACAACAAAAGTTATCATACGATTTGTATGAAATTTATATGCATCATTTGAGTTAGTGAAATTTCTTTTTATTAAATTGACTGTTATGGTTAACAAGATATTATTATTTATTAGATATTAAGAGCAATGTATGACAAAAGATTTATTGATTCAGCTTAAATTTGGTTACTCCCTGTTTTATAAATCTGTACTTTGACATGAAGAAGTGAACTATGTATGAGGTTTGGGGGGATTTAATAAAGGGTTTGAGGGGTTTTAATAAAAAAAGATTTTCGATTTTAATAAAGGTTTTTTGGGGGATTTATTAAATAGATTGAGAAGTTTTAATAAAGGTTTTTGTGGTTTTTTTCAGGGTCTAAAGAGGAAACGAGGTAAAAGTCAAGATACAGCGGACTCGAAAAAACAAACTTCATTAAATTCTTTTTTTATAAAGCAATAAATATTTTTGTTCATTTTAAACATCACCATAATATCATGATTTTCAACACCACATCAGTTCATCATCATTACATCTTCAATGTCATCATTACGTACATCAGATAAACTACTTTTAAAGCCAAAAACTGTTCAACTAGTCTCTTATGGTCAGCGCTCTTTTAGTTATCAAGCACCTGTTTTATGGAATAATCTACATCTTTATTTCTTTTTAAAAAGGAACTTAAAAGACATTTATTTAATCAGGTTTTTAACAGATTCTTCATACAATCGTTAAGATGTCCATAATCTTGTTGTTTATTGTAAAGTGCCCCTGAACATGTTATATGAAAGAATGCACAATAAATATTAAATATGCTGTAACAATAATAATCATAATCTCTGTACCATCACTTCAAACTAATCGTCATTAACCACATCATCATCATCATCAACCTAATCACCACCAATATCTTCATTACCACATTATTATAATCATCCTTATCACCACCCACATTTTCATCATCATCATGGGGGGTTGGATGGCTGAATGGTTAGTGTGCGCGCGCTGTATCATAAAGTCTGTCATTGAGTCGACTGGCGTGGTTTCGAATCCCCGGTTGTACGTGACAAGGAGTAGGGTCGCCTGTCCAACCTCGTGGGTTTTCTCCGGGTCCTCCGGTTTCCTCCCACTGCTAAAGACCCCTACGCGCAAGCGAATTATGTAAATAAAATTAAACCATATGTTAGTCCCGAAATGACCTAGTTTGTGTCGAGTGGACGTTAAACCCCATTTCTCTCTCTCTCTCTCTCATCATCATCATCATCTTCAACCCAGGCCTAATTATAATATAATCATCCTAGTCATCAAAACATCATCATCAAGATTCTCATCACCACATCAACAACCTTATCACTACATCAACATCACCATCATATCAACCTTATCAACATCACCATCACCCCTATCACCATCATATCAACCTTATCACCACATCAACATCACCATCACCCCTATCACCATCATATCAACCTTATCACCACATCAACATCACCATCACCCCTATCACCATCACCCCTATCACCACATCAACATCACCATCACCCCTATCACCATCACCCCTATCACCACATCAACATCACCATCACCCCTATCACCATCATATCAACCTTATCACCATCACCCCTATCACCATCACCCCTATCACCACATCACCATCACCCCTATCACCATCACCCCTATCACCATCATATCAACCTTATCACCACATCACCATCACCCCTATCACCATAGTATAATATACAATAGAATATTAAATAAATGCATGAAATAACAGCAGTGCCCAGTCCATATTTACATGAAATAACAGCAGTGCCCAGTCCATATTTACATGAAATAACAGCAGTGCCCAGTCCATATTTACATGAAATAACAGCAGTGCCCAGTCCATATTTACATGAAATAACAGCAGTGCCCAGTCCATATTTACATGAAATAACAGCAGTGCCCAGTCCATATTTACTTAAATCATTAAAATATAATAAAACATCTCCCTCCTCTTCTTTTAAAGACAATTATATTATTAATCATTGTTAAAATACTTATCATCATAGTGGTCACTCTCTTATCATTATGTTATCAAAACTGACACAGCAAAACTGACACAGTTATATGGGACAACAATCACTGGTTTATTATAAGTAAACTTGAGGGTGTATATATATGTACAATGTGAAACCATTCTTATTACTAATGATTATGTTTGTGGACCTTCTACAGGTCACAATTGTTATCCGATTTTGGCGAAACTTGAAATATAGATCACAAAGATCTTGCTTCCTATCCATATTGGCATCTATCAGACCATAGCTTCAGGGATTATGGCCTCTGATTGTACGAAAAATAGCGTTCTTAGCTTGTGGACCCTCTTGAGGTCACAATTTTTATCCGATTTTGATGAAACTTAAAATATGTTTATATCCCAAAGATTTTCGTTTCTTTCCATATTGACCTAATATCCTGGATTATGACCCCGTGATTGTACGCAAAATCGCCTTTTTTAGCTTGTTCTCTGCCAACATTTGCCAAATGTGGGCGTGTCTTGCATGGCAACGTCTTGTAATATATATTATACTTACTAGTATACTGTATATAATACTGTATATAATATTGTAGAATATTTTACTAGAATATAATATATATAATATGTATGTATTAATATTGTAGGTTTATACTTACTGGAATATAATATATATAATATGAATGTATTAATATTATAGGTTTATACTTACTGGAATATAATATATATAATATGAATGTATATGATATTGTAGGTTTATATTTACTAGAATATAATATATATAATATGAATGTATATAATATTATAGGTTTATACTTACTGGAATATAATATATATAATATGTATGTATTAATATTGTAGGTTTATACTTACTGGAATATAATATATATAATATGAATGTATTAATATTATAGGTTTATACTTACTGGAATATAATATATATAATATGAATGTATATGATATTATAGGTTTATACTTACTGGAATATAATATATATAATATGTATGTATTAATATTGTAGGTTTATACTTACTGCAATATAATATATATAATATGTATGTATATGATATTGTAGGTTTATATTTACTAGAATATAATATATATAATATGAATGTATATAATATTATAGGTTTATACTTACTGCAATATAATATATATAATATGTATGTATTAATATTGTAGGTTTATACTTACTGGAATATAATATATATAATATGAATGTATTAATATTATAGGTTTATACTTACTGGAATATAATATATATAATATGAATGTATATGATATTGTAGGTTTATACTTACTGGAATATAATATATATAATATGAATGTATATAATATTATAGGTTTATACTTACTGGAATATAATATATATAATATGTATGTATTAATATTGTAGGTTTATACTTACTAGAATATAATATATATAATATGAATGTATATGATATTATAGGTTTATATTTACTAGAATATAATATATATAATATGAATGTATATAATATTGTAGGTTTATATTTACTAGAATATAATATATATAATATGTATGTATTAATATTGTAGGTTTATACTTACTGGAATATAATATATATAATATGAATGTATATGATATTATAGGTTTATACTTACTGGAATATAATATATATAATATGTATGTATATGATATTATAGGTTTATATTTACTAGAATATAATATATATAATATGTATGTATATGATATTATAGGTTTATACTTACTAGAATATAATATATATAATATGAATGTATATGATATTGTAGGTTTATACTTACTGGAATATAATATATATAATATGAATGTATATGATATTATAGGTTTATACTTACTGGAATATAATATATATAATATGTATGTATTAATATTGTAGGTTTATATTTACTAGAATATAATATATATAATATGTATGTATATGATATTATAGGTTTATACTTACTAGAATATAATATATATAATATGAATGTATATGATATTGTAGGTTTATACTTACTGGAATATAATATATATAATATGAATGTATATGATATTATAGGTTTATACTTACTGGAATATAATATATATAATATGAATGTATATGATATTATAGGTTTATACTTACTGGAATATAATATATATAATATGTATGTATTAATATTGTAGGTTTATACTTACTGCAATAAATCAAAATTTATTGGTACCCTGAAGTCTCATTGCGTAATTTTAGCTTACAATCTACAGTATTGCGAAAGATGATACCGGTCCAAAATGTTGAATTAAAATTTCATCATGTATGATGCTGGCTGTTTGCTCAGTCATTGTGTTGTGGGCGAACAGAGTCGGTGGGATGGGTTTTAAATCAGATTGATTATCTAGCCTTGGTATTTTGATTTTATTTTTTCTAATAGTGCATGCCGGCAAGGATAGTGTCGAATCGTTCGGAAGGGACAAAAAACCGAGCCCGTGAGCGTAGACTGTCATAGCTCACTGCATGCAATATGCCCTTTTCATTAGCCAAGCCGGTGCAGAAAAATAGGACGTTAAACCCCATTTCATTTCATTTTAAATTGAGACGATATAATCAAGTGATAGCCAGACTAGCAACCAGTTACATGTGACAAGACAGCTGCAGAAAATACCAGGACATTTAATATCAATATCTCATTGTGTCCCAAACAAAAGGGATAGCCATCACCAGGACCATGTCCTTGACCACGGGTCAGGGGTTAGTAATTGAATTTAGGTATTGTTACACGCACGTCGTTTGCTTAAAGGGTCGCTGTCGCCCCACTCTCCACTCAAAAAGGAGAGTGAAAATAATAATGTGGTATGAATTATAAATCTATCCAAGGAAACTTTCTTCCCGCAAGTAAACGACTAGTCAAATAAACATTGTTAGTCCTGCATGTGGGAAATGGTCCCTTCCGTATAAAACCGCGTCGCTTATGTATTTATCTGGTTCATATAATTAGATCTCTCTCTCTCTCCAACCGGGCATACACCATGCAGTGCAGTGTGCTATAAGGGAACTTCCGTGTACGAGACTTCAGGTTGTAGTCCCATCCCAATGACTAGACGGCGATCCTTGCCAGATGTTATCCGACTAAAGCATGTTTCGAACAGCTTGATTTCACTTGGGTATTATGGAAGTGCTCCCACGCTTGTACTTGACAATGATCGTTTATTTTTCTCAAAATGTTTTCCAATTTGCCTATGTGAAGATATTTGATCACGTCACGAGCTTTAATATTTGAACTATAATATGCGATGTATTTTGATATGAGATTAGATTTAGATATAAAATGAAATAAATGGAGAGATTTATTCTTTTATCGTTAATCAAATGAGCGAATAATGCGGGGCCCTGTGTTGTTCCGCTCGGTTTCAATCGACCTGAGTCTCGAGACACGACCAATAATAGGGGTGTATTATCAATAGGATAACATGTATGTCGACTTGACCAGTAGCTATAGTACAAAAACAACCCAGGTCACATCATTTTATTATTCATAAATAATCGGAGAAACAGAAAACACTCTCACAGAATTTATAACGGACAACTGAAAACAGCACAGAATTTATAGATGTAAAAATGACGGACAACTGAAAACGTGTTAAGTTCACTTATAGATGCAGAAACATCAGATGAAATAAAAACCACTAAGTTTGTTCAGATCATTTAATTCATAGATGCAATTATAAGTGAGAAACTGGAGACATTTTCACAGGAAAAACATGTAAAGTTGATTTAGTTCAATTATAGATGAAGAATTAACAGAGGAACTGAAAATATCGTCACAGGAAAACGAGTTTAAATTTCAGTTAAAGATGGAGACATAATTAAATCCAAGAAAACAGCGTATTGTTTGTTTATGATTGTTAATAAAACTATATCATTCATCGATTCAAAACTAAGGATATAACCACGGCAACAAAAACGTGTTTGTGAATATTATTTTATTTTATTTTTTTGACTGATAATTTTTAATATGAATAAGAAAATGACTAAACGTGTTGCTGTTATTGGTGCAGGATGCAGCGGATTGACGGCGGTAAAATCTTGTTTAGAAGAACATTTTATACCCGTGTGCTTCGAGCGTGAAGATGATATCGGAGGATTGTGGAATTATACAGAAATTCCTAAAATTGGTAAAGGTAGTATTTACAGAAACCTTGTAATCAACACCAGTAAAGAAATGATGGCATTTAGCGATTTTCCAATTCCTGAAGATTTCCCGCCATTTATGCCACACGCAGACGTGTTACGATATTTCAGGATGTATGCCGATCATTTTCATCTTTTACCGTATATACATTTCCGCACGTCTGTTGTTTACATCGAGCAGACGGCTGATTACCAGGAAACAGGGAAATGGATCGTAAAATACCAGAAAGATTCGCAGGAACCAGTACAAGAAGTCTTTGATGCCGTCATGGTTTGTTCTGGGCATCACTCGGTTCCATTTATTCCTAAGTTCCCAGGATTCGACAAGTTTGAAGGAAATAAACTCCACTCTCATTCATATCGTGAGGCCAGTCAGTTTAAACAAAACACTGTTCTTATTGTTGGTAAGTTTCCTCTAGCTTAAATCTTTCTTTGTGCTTTGTTTTTTGCTTGGTTTTTTTTTTCTTTTGTGATCATTTCTTTGTTTTTTTGTTTTGTTTAGTAAATTTCGCGTATCTTAAATTCGTTCCTGTGTTTGTTGTCGTTGCGTTGCTGTTGATTTTGTTTGTCTTTTTGTACTATAATAGTATATGAAAAATTAAATGAAATGATATGATATGGGGTTTAATATCCTACTTTTCTGGACCGACTGGGCTAATAAAGACGGATGTGCGGACAGCGGCGCTACGGCCTACTCTTACATCTAATTCCTACTGTTAAGGTTCTTTTACGTGCACGTGCAAATAAAACCCCATTTTATTTGATAATGATGAAAACAAATATCTACTTGATAAAATACATTTGGAACGTGTTGGTAAATAACGACAGATTATACACACTAACAAAGTTATCCTACTGCGCAACAATTGCTTGAATAATAGGTAATTCAATATTTGGCTCAGCTTGTCTTCAATAATAGGTATATAATACAATATTTGGCTCAGCTCGTGTGTAAGAAATATGTTAAATTGACGAAAACAAATTAACCCCTTTATTCCAGTCCATCAATTTATAATCTGTTGTTATGTTTTGGACCTTGATCTAGACGTTCGCCCTGAGGACAGATTTTAACTACGTCGTCTTCCGTTATTTTAAAATAAAACGAATAATCGTACATTGGGTCAGATATTTTAAAATAAAACGAATAATCGTACATTGGGTCAGATATTTTAAAATAAAACGAATAATCGTACATTGGGTCAGATATAGTTTTGATTTGTATTCTTGGCGGTTGGAATTCAATATAAGAGTAGGCCGTTGTCCGGGCAAAATATCCCACGTAGCACTGTCTGGCGTATGCATGTTTCATTATCCCGGTCTGTGCATAAAAGTAGGACGTTAAAGGGACAATAACACTCTTGCTGGCTTGAAAGCTCCAGAAAATAAATAATATCTCTATCTAAGCACTAGATGTTTAAGTGTCCTACCTGTTGTGTAAATTATCCATTAAATCCTATTTTACTTGTCCAGTGGGTTCGAAAATATTTTTAAATCGAAGTTTCATTTGAAAAGGTTTACGTTACACGTTTCAAACCATTATGTTGAATTTTTCAAATTTTTTAAATAAGGTGTGTTAAGATGAAATTTGTATCATCAATTAATTGAAATATTGTAAAATAGTACAATTTGTTGACCAGAATAAAGATTGGGACATATTATTCAGTTACAACAAGAGTGGTATTGAGCCTTTAAACCAAATTTCATTTCATTCCATTTCTAATCAGACTAAATTGTTATATGTACTTATGGATGAAGTTATTACTATATTTAATTAGTTAAACATAATCAACAATCAGTTTTGTTAAACTTTTGAGTTTCTCACAAAGAAGCTAAAAATAAAAATTGAATTGGTTCGAAATAAAATCTTAAAGTGAGTGATATTACAATCTCTATTGCTTGAAATATCGACTGGATTTTGGTTTGTTAATTAATATTAATTCCATTTTGTTCCATTTTTTTGGCTTAAATATCAACGGTTGGATTGCAATTAATTACATAAGCTGTATCTACGGATGTAAAATTTTGGACGAAATGAAATGAAAATGGGGTTTAACGTCCTACTGTTCTGCTCCGAACTGGGCTAATGAAGACGGGCATACATCATACAGTGTGCTATGAGGGAAACTTTGCCCGGACAGGGACGCTGCGGCCTACTCTTACATCGAATTCCAACTGTCAAGGGTTCTTTTATATGCACGCCAAGGTGTACACGGGACCTCGTTTTTTTGTCCCATCCGAACGACTAATTTAAAAAAACAAAACAATTTAAACACTGGATTAAGCCGTGAAAACTTAAATATTGCCCGTAAAATAATGACCACTGACTTGAAATGAATTTTATCAATAATTACAGATTTAACCCGGGCAAGATGACCTTAATTTATGCCCTAAAAAATGGCGACTGATCGTAGCAATATTAAAGTTGATAAAATCAAATATCTTAGCTTTATCTTATCGTAAATTTAACCCGTGACCCACAGACAGGCCTATCACCTCAGCTCTGACCCGTATTCAAATTATTTTTACACGTGCTAGGTCAAGTGGAAAACGGGTCAAATTGGTCAAAGTGTCTGGCCAGTTATCAATGGATTGTAAAATCTTCTCGAATCGCGATCTTCACACGATGGCTTCCTCGCTTCATTAGACTGTCTCAATTGATAGCTTTCCTTCATTGTGGCTATCTCTCCTTATAGAAATCTTTAAATTTACATTTTCTTTAAATTTGGTGACGTTAATATCAGTGAAATATGACGTCATTATTGTGAATTGTCTGTTAATGTCACGTGATTTATCATGTCCCGGGTTTTTTTTTCCGATTCATTAATATCCCAATTATAGACGATTAATACATTGAAGTTTAGTGATTGAATGTCCAGGGTTTTCTTCCGACCAATTAAATTAATACATTGAAGTTTAGTGATCGAAGTCTAAATGGGGTTTAGCATCCTACTGTTCCGTACCAACTGGGCTATAATGAGGACGATTGAAATGAAATGAGATGGAGTTTAAAGCGACAATCAATCTATGCCAGCCTTTATTAAATAATTTAGCAATTCTAACAGTTTAAGATCCTTTAGTTGCGATATATTTTAATAATGGCCATCTATGACGCCATTTACTGTAAATAAATTTTATTTTGGTTTCTAACCAAGTTTTTAAAGGTTTATAAGATTCGTTAAGTTTGTAGAGGACGTTAATATTACACGTTCAACTCCATGTAAAGACTGGCCGTGGTTTGTGTTTATAAATATTGACAATATTAACGATCGGCCGTGGGTTCGCTCCCGGTGATGACCTAGAAAGTTCATCGGAATTTTCCGGCGTGGTTGCCCCTTGTCAGTGGTGCAGGATGGAGGGCCTGGCAAGGACAGCTGTCTAGTCGTTCGGGTGGAATGAAAAACCGAGGTTCCGTGTACACTGTAGCGTGCACATAAAAGACCCCTTGACAGAATTTCCTTCATAGCACACTGTATGGCGTATGCCCGTCTTCATTAGCCCAGTCGGAGTAGAACAGTAGGACGTTAAACTCCATTTCATTTCGTTTCACTACTTTAACGTCCTACTGTTATATGCCAAACGGACTAATGAGGAGGGACATACGTCATATGATGCAGTGTGCTAGAGGGAAATTTTGCCCGGAGAGCAGCGATATAGCCTACTGTCAGAAGTTGGTTTACGCACACGCCGACGTGTACACGAGACCTCGGGTATTCGTCCCGTACGACTGTCTAGACATTGTTCCTTGCTACGTCCTGTACAACTGACAAGGAGAGACCGGGATGGAGAGGACAGCGTAGGTAAATGAATGAATAAGATGGGATTATTAGCGAAATTTGGCCTGCACAGCAATTGAATTTCACCTGTCAAGGGTTATTTTACGTACACGCGGACGTGTATACAGGATCTCGATTTTTCGTCCCATCCGAACGACTGTGCGAGCCCGCGCCCTACTCATCGCGCCACCGCCCCCCACCCCCGGGGTAAAAGAAACAATTTAGTGATTAAATACTGCCGAAATATCAAAGGACATCATAAATCTACTATAATATAGTTTACCTAAATATACTACTTTCACTTTCTCAAATATACTACTTTCACTTTCTCAAATAGTAATAAAAACGCAGTATTTTTATCTGACAGTATCCGCTGTAATGAGAGAAATGTAAAATGTAGACACGTCAAAAAAACAGTCTTTCCTAAAAAAAAAAACATTTGTCATTTAACTTATTACGTTTGACGTTTTACATTTAACTTTGGCCTTAGAGGTGCTTTAACTTTATCATCACCGGTATTAAGACTTTGTACTTTTTATATATAATGGAACAGACATTTTAGCAGAGCATTTAATATTGGCAACGATACCCTTCTATAGGTTCCACTCCTTTTTCGTCATGTATACCTTTAATTTCATTTCTGATTGTAGCGTATATATGAAATTAGTAATAAGTTATATTTTACGGTTTGTGGTATTATTTTCACCAGGTATTGGTAATTCAGCTGTAGATATTGCCGTTGACGTATCCAGGGTGGCCAAACAGGTAATGTTTATCACGTTCACAAGCTTTTCGAAAAAGGGGGCATGACACGGGAAAATGAGGACAAAGGACGTTGAATATCGTTAGGGTCGTCCTCTCATGACCTCAGTGCTTCTCGCCAAATTTGAACAGAATAAGTAGGATCTATGACGTTCACCGGCTGTTTGGAAAATCTGAAAAATGATTGCGTTTTTACCCCCCCCCCCACACACACACACACATACACCTTGATACGTCACTAGGAGAACCACACTACACATAAAGTAATACCGATAAGACAAACATTGCGCTTTGTCGACAGACTCTATGAGAACATTATTGAACTTAGCATTAGAATGTGATACAGGTTGTGTTGGGTGAAATATGGTTTTAACGTCCTACTTTTCTGTTCCGACTGGCTTAATGAAGACGGACATACGTCGGACAGTGGCGCTACGACTTACTCAAAGGATCTTTTGTCGTGTTAAAGCAGATAAGCAGGACGTTCAACCCCATTTAATTTGTTTTGTGTTGTTTTTTCAGGTGTTTGCTAGTACGAGGAGAGGAGCCTGGGTAATCAGTAGAACAGGATTATGGGGAATTCCCGCTGATCTTCTGGCCAACAATAGATTTATCTTCTCTTTACCTAGAAATATTTTACAATGGTTGGTGGAGAAAACAGCGAATCTACGTATTGATCATAAACAATATGGTCTCCAACCTAAACATGGGTAATTATATAACATTTCATAACATTTCTTCTTTAAAATAACATAGGTTAACACGTGGGAGGCCGGTGTTGGGGACGAGCTAAATATTTGTGTATGGAACATTTGATACCAGTTTTTGTTTAATATAATATAGGTCAACACTGTTGTGGTCGGTGTTGTGCACGAGGCCGGGTATTCTTATATGGAACACCTGATACCATTTCTTGTTAAGATATAATAGATCACCAAATAGGTGACCGGTGTTGTGTACAGTACATGGTATTCTTATATGGAACACCTAATACCATTTCTTGTTAAGATATAATAGATCACCATATAGGTGGCCGGTGTTGTGCACGAGGATGTATATTCTTATATGGAACACCTGATACCATTTCTTGTTTAAGGAGTTCAAATAGCAAACCAATAATATTGCATACCGTAATGTGATAATATGCAGATGTTAAAATTTGGATAACCCATTCAGGATTCTATAACGGTCTTGTTAATTAGTTGTTCACAGATTCCACCACTAAGATATTTCTTTATTCATCTGTTTTCTTTTTTCTTGAAACAACACAGCCTCAAAAGTACACAACTATTGTTCGAACACTTGAAAATCACAATATGGAATAGATTACCGGACTTACTCCATAAAGTCATCCACGAGTAGTGTCCCTTTAAGCTAAATTCCACGCCAATTTGACATCGTTGCGGGCAATCTGTTTTACAGACCTAATGCGACATACGTCTTTTATCTCTGTCCAAGATGACTGACCTTTAAAAGGTCAGACCGCTGTAGTTCTAAGGGTGACGTCACATCACAATGTTTACAAACAAAGCAAGATGGCATCGATAACGCCAAAAAAGATTACTTCTGTGGCTTGTTTTTGTTGTTTTAAAACAAACACGAGCCGGTCAATCAGATTAGACGGTAAAAAATGTACTTCTGAAAGAATTCAGAGTAAACAAACAGAAAAAAACGTCAAATTGATGGTCACACGTGCGTTGTTTACATCGAACGTAGTAATATGAACTGGTACGGGCAGAATTATATCGTTTTACCCATTTTACGCCTCCGCGTACTATTTTCTGTACCTATTTACGCTAAATATGGAATATTTTTTATCAAAATATACTTCAAACACCTTTATTTATTTTTCTAATACTAAAAAAAAAATTTTTTTCAGAATTTAATTTGTCGAAAGAAAAAAGTTAATATTTTGTAGTCATTAAGTCGCATCGATGTCATCCTTATCAGTGATTGTAGCAGCCAAGAGAATATTCACTGCGGATCAGTGTGCGTTGCGGGGGGTTGGGTCTGGGTGTCCGAATGGTTTAAAGAGTGAATCATGTAGCGTAGTTCCGATTCCCTGATTGTACGTGACAAGGAGTAGGGTCGCCTGTCCAACCTTGTGGGTTTTCTCCGGGTCCTCTGGTTTCCTCCTACAACTACAGCCCCCTACGCCCAAGCGAATTATTGAAATAAAATTGAACCATATGTTAGTCCCACATTAATCGATCTTGTGTCGAGTGGACGTTAAATCTCCATTTCTCTCCCCCTTAATTGATGTTTTAGTTGTTACCCATCAAACTACAAATTATTGCACTTGTTGATGCTACAAATCTTTATAAGTGGGTTAGATATCGTATATCGAGAGGACGATTACAAACAGCCGAGTTCCAGGTGAGCTTGGATATCATTCCGCACACAGAGAACCATCTACTTCATACTTCGAGTATAGATCTCTGCCCTAAATGGCCGCCATATCCAAAAATTAGTATATTGTTTTGTAATGCGACTCTACTCCTTTTCACATCTGGCATACACGCAAAGACTAAATACATTTGTAAATCTTTTCAATTCCATTAAACGGAAGCAGAATAAATACTCAACAAAATTCTCCAAATATGCTTAGTGTTTTCGACTAAAATCGACGATTTAGGACTTAAAATGTCGGTCAACTAGCTTAGTGTCTGTTCTCAAGGGGAGCTAACTGTAGACAGACAGTCTAAGTTTAGTATGCTCGGATATTTTACATGTTTGTAGTAAAGCCGCAACCTGCCAGAATAAAGGCTAAATACCATACGCAATTAAAAGTAATTCTGCTTTTTTAAAAAAAAAGAACACCCCCCCCCCCCCCCCCCCAAAAAAAAAAAAACCAGAATAATTTGGTGCAACAATTTTTCTGATCTATCAGTTATGACCATTTTAAGTTCCACTCCGTTATTTTTGTTTCTCTAAGCCATCCTAGTAATATTGATAATGTTCTATAGTTAGCTTTTCGTACAAGTCAGTCCTTCGTCTCAAAATAATTATTTATTCACCGGAGATTTTTATATTTGACGTATAGAATAATGTCGTTGTATTTATTTTAGAGCACTTAGCGCCCACCCAACAATAAACGACGAACTGCCATTTCAGATGTTGAATGGTAAAATCCGAATTAAACCAAATATTGTACAGTTTACTGAAGATGGTATCATGTTTGAAGATGGATCGTTTGAGAAAGTAGACGCGGTCATTCTAGCAACTGGTTATGATTATCAAGTAAAGTTTGTAGATGAGAAGGTCTTGAGGATCGAGAATAATCGAGTTGATTTATACCAATATGTCTTCCCACCAGATTTGAAACATCCAACATTTGGTATGATTGGTTTGGTTCAGTCTATTGGTGCTGTGATGCCTGTGGCTGAAATCCAGGCCAGATGGTTTATACAACTATTAAAAGGTAAGCGCACGCGCTATCGATGTTTGGCTCACCCGTTCTTGCCCGGTTTCTTGGCCAAGTTGGTTCTTCGTTTTAATATTATAGTTCGTACCATCATGGAATTGATTATGTTATATATTTTTTATTAGGAATCTAATGGCGACAGAGAGAGGTGGTAGCTCATTCACTAAAAAGGAGAGAGGGAGAGAAATGGGGTTTAACGTCCACTCGACACAGACTAGGTCATTTCGGGACTAACATAAGATTCAATTTTATTTAAGTAATTCGCTTGTGCGTAGGGTCTGTAGCTGTAGGAGGAAACCGGAGAACCCGGAGTAAACCCACAAGGTTGGACAGGCGACCTACTCATTGTCACGTACAAGTGGGAAATCGAAACCAGGTCACTTGACTCAATAACAGACCTTCTGATTCAACGCGCACGCATTAACCATTCTTCAACCCCCACCCCCACCCTGTTCAGTGGTGCTAGACGAAAAGTGTCTGGTTGTTCAGATGAGATGTAAAGCCATGTACTCGTTGACATGCACGCCAAGAACCCCACACAGTTAGAATTTGATGGAGAGTAGGTACACTGTCCCCCAAAGACCATCTTCTGTAGCCCGATTGGTGCAGAAAGGAAGGACCACTACGTTATCTGACTATGGAGCGAATAGTACTGTAACTGAAGCTTAAACTATTGTAGTGACTCTTGCCATCAGCAACACAGAGAGACTGGTAAGGGACAATGTATAGTCGTTCGGAATGGACGAAAATTCCCGTGTACACTTTGGCGTGCGCGTAAAAGCTCCCTTGACAGTTGGAATTCGATATAAGAGTCGGCCGCAGTGCCGCTGTCCGGGCAAAATTTCTCTCATAGCACACTGTATGGCGTATGCCCGTCTTCATTAGGACGTTAAACCCTATTTCATTTCATTTCGTCTTCATGAAAAATGATCTATAATCGTTACATACATCAAAAGATGACATCCCATTTGTATTTTAATCCATTTTAATCTTTTTAAGGTAATGTTCATTTACCCGATCGTAACTTTATGTGGGCTGATATTCAATCCAAGATGATTGAAATGAACGGAAGTTACGTCAGGTCAAGACGTCATACAATTCAGGTACTTTATTTATTAAAATTATTTCTTATGAGAACTTGTACCAGTAGGGGGCGGGGTGGAGCTTGTACCAGTAGGGGCGGGGTGGGCGGGGTGGAGGCATTTTGTCAAAAGGTCGCTGGGTTAAATGACTTCTCATGAACATTGCATTTCAAGCATGTACATTTATCTCTTGTTTACATGGCTCCAATCTTTGGAACCTTAAATTATTCAGGTAATAAGAACTACATAAAGTGATTTCCATTCAATATTTAACAAGTTTTTTTGTGATTTATAACCAATTATGTTCGGTACGTGAACAGTCCATTCTACATGGTTTTTTTTGGGTTTTTTTTTTAATTTTGTCGTTTGTGAATAAGCAATGTTTTATTACATCCGCGTTGTCTTGTAGATTGTAGGATATGTTTTGTTTAGTTCATCACCAATGACATTCGAACCCAATGAGTACACGACGTCGTGTAGTCATTTTAAAATGTTTATTGTGTCTTAAATATTGGATATTAAGATCCCATATTCACACAGCAACATAACAAGATGAATATTGATTGAAATGGATCTATATTGAATTTTATTTTATGCTTTAATTTTGAATATTATGGATAATATTAAGTTAGAGGCTTAAGATTGTCGAGAACATTTAACAGGGTTGCATACTTGATAACTGAGTCTGTGATATACGCCTGGTTTCCAAAAATGAAATGAAATGAAATTTAACGTCCTACCGTTCTGCTCCGAACTGGGCTAATGAAGACGGGCATACGCCATGCAGTGTGCTATGAGGGAATTTTTGCCCGGGCAGCGGCGCTACGGCCTACTCTTATATCGAATTCCAACTGCCAAGGGATCTTTTACGTGCACGCCAATGTGTACACGGGACCTCAATTTTTCGTCCCACCCGAACGACTAGACAGCTGTCCTTGTCAGGCCCTCCGTCCTGCATCCCTGACAAGGGGAAACCACGCCTGAAAATCTGAATGAACTTTCTCGGCCAATGCAGGGATCGAACACCTGATCTCCAGGCTAGCGAGCCAGCGTCTTACCCACTTAGCCACGTGATCCCCCGCCTAGTTGCGACTGCAAATGTTTTATGAACGTTAGGTAATTAGGGAAACGTTTTTATTTTTTGTTGCCCTCTAAAGTAACCAGAATATTTTCTTTATAAATAAAGTTGTATTTTATTTTTGATTTTAGGCCTTTTGGGTGGAATATATGGATACTATAGCCTCGTATATCCAGTGTAAACCAAACTTCTGGAGAACTTTAATACGTGAACCAGACCTTGCGATCAGATGTCACTTTGGACCATGTGTTCCAGCTCAGTACCGTTTATGTGGACCCAACACGTGGCCTGGTGCACGGAACATTATTCACAACTCTCTATCCCGGGCCACGAACTCAACACCTACTAAACACGGCCCAGTTGAAAATAATTTAAAGATGGAGAACTCCAGATTGATGACGTTGTTAGTGCTATTGGTTGTGTTTGTGGCTTGGTTTACTAAAAGTTTAATATAAAATAAATAACTAATTATTGAGGTCTGCCTTGATTCAATATAAAATACATACAACAATCATACTCATTACAACATATTGACACTTACTGATTACAATATATTGGTAGCTACAAAATATTGTCTGTTACTGAAAAATAAGCGAGAACACCTCTGAATGGGAAAATTGTTCCCCATATCACAGAGTAGGACGTTAAACCCAACTTCATTTCATTTTAAAGGTTACCGTTATAGTAATCCAAAAGAAATGCTAATGCTTTCTGGAGATTTTCAGGTGAATAACCGTATAGATCAGTCATTTTAGGACGAACTATTTTAACATTTAAAATCGGCATGGTATCACAAAAAACTCTGACTTGTACCAGAGCTTGATGTATTACGGAATAATAAATCTGACTGTTTCGTAATAAAATCGGAACTAATAAATTTTGACAATTTGTTGTTTATTATAAATATTGATATTTATACACGCGGTAGCCCCAGGTGAATTGATGAACCATCAATACGCGAAAAGATGGCCAAATAGATGAATGGAATAAATTATGCTTTAAGGTCCTATGTTTCTACACTTCACTGGATTGTTTTATGTAAAAATCTGACTGTTTATAATAAATATTGATAATAATTATTCAGGCTGAAACTCCCAGATGAACTGAAGAACGATCAATACGAAAACGTGGATCAGTGTAAAGTTAATATCATTGGCTAATGAACCAGCAAGGGGATCACTTGGCTAAGTGGGTAAGACGCTAGCTCGCTAGCCTGGAGGTCGGGTGTTCGATCCCTGCATTGGCCGATAAAGTTCATCCAGATTTTCCGGCGTGGTTTCCCAGTGATGCTGGGCAGAGGGCCTGACAAGGACAGCTGTCTAGTCCTTCGGATGAGACGAAAAACTGAGGAAAAACCGAGGTCCCGTGTAAACATTGGAATGCACGTAAAAGATCCCTTGGCAGTTGGAATTCGATATAAGAGAAGGCGATAGTGCCGCTGCCCGGGCAAAATTTTCCCCATAGCACACTGTATGGCGTATGCCCGTCTTCATAAGCATACGAGCAGAACAGTCGGACGTTAAACCCCATTTCATTTCATTTCTAATGAACAAACAACATTTATAAATGAAAATATATGGCGTAACACATCTATATATACTTAAGTGTTATATCATTGAGGTATTGAATGATATACACCACTATTATCCGGGTTTGGGTATTCAATAGTGATGGGTGTTATAATTAGTCACTATTAGTAACATATTTTACAGCTAGTTACACACCAGGGCCCTGTTTCTCGAAATCTTAACTAAAGATAAAATCCAAATTTTAGTAGATACTATAATTCTGATTGGCTAAGCACTAAAATCAATCTAATATTATCCAATCAAATTACTAAAATTTGGATTTTATCTTAGTTAAAATTTCGTGAAACAGGCCCCTGGTAATCAATGACAACTGTATACATACTAAATATTAGTTTTAAATAATGATCACTTGTTTGTTTTAATGACAAAACAATATATATATTTCATTAGAAAATGGCCTAGGTTCATTAGTCAATGCTGTTGGGTTAACGGGGGTGCCTGAATTACATAGCCACGCTGGCTCGCTCGTTCCCGGCGATGCCCGAGAAAGTTCATCGGAATTTTCCGGCGTGATTTCCCCGTGTCACGGGTGCCGGTCGGATGGCCCGACAAGGGACGATAAGCCCAGGGCCCTGTTTCTCGAAATTTTAACTAATGATAAACCCCAAATTTTAGCAGATATTTCAATTTAATTGCCTAAGCACTAAAATCAATCTAATATTATCCAATCAAATTATTAAAATTTGGATTTTATCTTAGTTAAAATTACGTGAAACAACCCCCAGGTCAAATTGGCGTGCACACTGTATGGCGTATGCCCGTCTTCATTATCACAGTAGAAGAAGAACAGTAGGACGTTAAAACCCATTTCATTTCATTTCTTTTCTTTTCTATTCTGCACCAACTGCGATATAGAAGACGGGAACCTTAGTCGTCCTACTCGCCATCGAATTCCGACATCCATGAATTACATAAGAGCGCTATTTCAAAATTAATTCAGATTGGTTGATTACTGAATCTGTATTAACACTATAATCAATAAATTACTATCACGTTCTGGTTTCAAATCAATGTAATATGTTAGATATTATCCATGACTCTATCAGACTTTCCAACAGGTTTATGATCCGTGCAAAACATGGCATTTGATCATTTCGATTATGAGACTGCGATGACCCATATTTTACACAATTGTTCCCAATTTCAACTAATGACAAATTCGACCAAATTATAAATTGCGCCATTTAACAAACCTGTGCTTCTTTGTGCCTACTATTTAATATTCGTTCTTCTACATTCCAACATAAAGTTAATTCTAACAAAATTCTCTTGCCTGCCCTGCCCTGCCCCTAATGTCTATGGGTCTTAAATGAACAGCCGTGATCTGAACACACCATAGCTTTGTAATTAGATTTACCGCAGTATATGTTTCAGTGAGGAAGGTCTAGGGTTATATAGGCTATACCCCAACTGATTGATGTTTGCAATATTAATTTTTATTTATTTGCAGACTATTCTCCCGGATAATACACACGTTTCCCCCCAAGCGATAAAACGGGAGAAGAAGTGAACATGCGCGCAAAGTTATTCGGTTCTGGTAAACCTGTTGATCTGAATCAAGCGCGCCACACTAAATATTGGACTGCGAATAACCCGAATGGAAACACTTGTCCCAGATTGAATTTGGAAAAATATAGGGATTCGTTATTTCAGATTCAGTTCGGACTTCAGCAAATTGAGTGTGACGCCTAAATCCGGAACAAGACTTCATTCTGAATTCAATTCAGATTAAACCCCAGTGTGAACGCACCTTTAGACGCTGGTCCAGAATGTTCATCTATAACATTCAGCTTGGTTTCCCCTTGTCGGTAGTGCAAGGAATAACTGGTTAGATCTTAATATAAAGGTCACCTGCCGTAGTAGTGCAAGGAAATTCTGGTTAGATCTAAATATAAAGGCTACCTGCAGATTTCGTGAAAGTCACGAGATGTAACCAAGGCTAGCCCTAACCCTTACCATAACAAACAGTCCTTTGTAACAATCACGTTCCCTAACCCTGTTTACATGTCGTATAGTATAGTCATTAGTAATTAAATCTATCACAGTTTAATAGTGGCGTACAACATAGACGTCATTTTCGGCAATTCTATGTGTGGGTTAGTTGTATTTTACGTCCGCTTCCACCGAGGTGATATCGCAATTAACAATGAACAATTAACTGTTATTGTATACCATATAAACACCATTTCCACAATTTACTTAAAGCTACAATTTCATATTTTTAAGTTATATTTTTAAAATTTATTAAAATAAAGCCTTAAAATAGATGGTATCCATAAACAATCCTAACTTGTTAAAGAATAATCCTATTAATCCTATAATTCGCTATTGCCAACTGAGAAATTGGCAAAAATATCATTTTCAACTTCAAATTCCAACGTTTGAAGATAGCTATTCCATGGAGGGAATAGAAAACGAGGGAGGTAATTGTGTTATTATTTCCTGTGTCAATGATTTTTAAGGGTGGGAAATAATGCCCATGACCGTATAATAGTGAGTTGATAACCTATTGAGCAAAAAACATTGAAATAATATGTTTTGACTTTCTTAGAAAATATGAAATTCTCGCTTTAACGAATAAATGGTAAAGATCAGGTTGGTTCCAGATCGATCGTAGGAAATGTACCTCTTAAAAGAAGATTGAATTAATACCGATGTGTGCTTTAAAAGAAATGTTATACCTCGAATGGGTGAATAAATGGTGTGAGAATAGGTGAACGTCTTTGGAGTAAAAACTAGATGTAGAACTAATAGATTACTCTCAGGAATTGTGACACTTAACAAAACTCCAGAACCATAAATCAACGCAATTACAGGAATAAAACCCCAGAACACCTAAACAACCACTTACTCTTAATGAACTCCCCACTGAATCAGTAAATAGATAAGAACAAAAATGGTCGAGCAGCACTTGAAACAAAATCTTGAATTATAAACCACGTGTACTTTTAATAAACGCCCAACAAGATCAGTAAAAGTCAAACTATTAAAGGCTCAATACCACTCTTGTTGTAACTGAATAATATGTCCCAATCATTATTCTGGACAACAAATTGTACTATTTTACAATATTTCAATAATTGATGATACAAATTTCATCTTAACACACCTTATTTAGAATTTTTGAAAAATTCAACATAATGGTTTGAAACGTCTAACGTAAACATTTTCAAATGAAACTTCGATTTAAAAATAAAATATATTTTCGAACCCTCTGGACAAGTAAAATAGGATGTAATGGATAATTTACACAACAGGTAGGACACTTAAACATCTAGTACTTAGATAGAGATATTATTTATTTTCTGGAGCTGTCAAGCCAGCAAGAATGATATTGTCCCTTTAAACCACTTTCATAGCAAAGTGTAAAAAATAAATCGATTGATAGATTCGTATTTTAAAATTACACGACAAAATACCATAACAATAATAACCATGTACTCCTAATTTCCCTGTACTTCTAATAAACATTAAACTCCATTTCATTTCATTTCTAATAAACACATCACCGAATTAGTAAATAGTAAACATCTATTTATTGAAGCAGTTAATAAGAATTCAAAACCACTCCAGAAATTTTAATTGCAAAAAACTACCTCAAGCCGTATAAATCTATTTTTAACTGGGTCCAATTTTAGCTTGTATTTGTAGTTACTCGCTGGCAACCCGACGGTTTATTGTAAAGTAGTTTGACTGAGGGAGCGGTTGTTTTTTCTTGATTGAATTCTTGCATTTAAATTAAAAATAGCCCCAGACATAACCCAGGGAGGGATCAGATTCATTTAAACTCCTCGAAAACAAGGAGAAAAATGGTAAACTGAAGCTCAAACCCCCGGTGTCTCATATCAGCGAATTTAAAGAAGTTTAACATCTCCTCAACTCAATA